GATCTACTCAATGGATTTCATCAAGACTAGTTCCCTGCGTGCTCTGATTGAGTTAACTTTCCAACGCAACTGGAACGGCCTCATTTGGATGAGTAGAAAAGGACTTATAGCCAAAAGAGCGAAGACTGTCCAAAGCCGATCTATCGAGAATCGACGCCCAAACCGCGCAGAACGGCCGGCCGAGGAACGCATGTTCCGCTCTCGGCCAAAATTGCGTCCGTCCGTCTGAAGTCTCGGCCAAAGTTCAAAACCGTTCGGCCGATCATGCATCACGACCCGGGAAACTAAGACCCGCAGTCGGCCACGCCACGACCGTCCACGCCTCGCCGCGCACGACCATGCCGCGCGAGCCGGGAAACAAAGCCTCGCGGCCGCGTAACCTATCTCGCGTACCACGGCCGATGGTTCCGGCTCGTCCCAAGTCCGGCCGAGAAACCATCGACCATTCCATCAACCGTCCGACCACACCGGCCGACCGTTAAATCATCCGGCCACGACCGTTCCGACTCGGCCCAAGACCCGACTGTCCGGCCGATCGTCCCGACCGACCGTCCGAACGCCGCGGTCGACCCGAAGCCGTTTTTGAAGCCCAATCCGCACAATTCAAGCCCAAAGCCGGCGCCGACCTAGCTAGATTAGGTTTAGCCGCCTTTCATACTTAGTGCATTATAAATACTTCTTTTTAGCCTTGTAACTCAAGAAGGAGAGAGACCACAATATTTTACATCTTAATAAAGTTTTGCTTGCTTTTACTTTGTTCTTGCTTGTTACTCTTTCTAGAGAGGATTCGAATCTCTGTTCTTATGAATATGAATTCGTGTTCCTTCTCTATGTCTGAGTAGTTTACTTGTTAAGTGATAGGAAGTCAAAGGATAGCATTCATGTATGCTTGATGATTGATCACAATTAGGGTTTTACTTATAATCTCCATCTTTGCTTATACTTAATGCTTGTTGTTAATCTGGCCAATTAGCATATGCCTTTAGGTTGATTTGAGCCTCGACAGTGCTGTATCATTCGCCTGAACTAGTATTTGGTGGGCAATCTCTTTTAGACTGCGACAGTTGATCTACTTGTAGGTTGTGAACAATTGATCTTATCGAACTAATGCTTGATTTAATCACCTAGGGACATACCAAAAGTTTAGCGACTAGGTAGATTAACAAAGGGGTCGGAGCCTCGACAGTGGAATGATCATACCATAGTGTTTCAAGTTCTAGATTAGCACCTAAGTGCGGTAACCCTAATTGATTGATTTCATGCTTCTTGAATTTTATCTCAAGACTATCCTATTGCTTAGCCTTTCTCTCCTATTGAATCTTCCTTTTATCACTTGCATGCCTTTACTTTTACTGCACTCAACCAACTTATACTTTTGCCCTAGCTCGATCTCAAACTCATAGCTTGTAGTGTGCAATCTGGTCCTTGTGTTCGATACCCGTTTACTACTTCTGACCTGTGCACTTGCAGAATCAGGGATAGGAAAGGGGAAGACCTGATCCCGGGATCACTTACCTCACCAACTTTCTTACCAAAGGTGAAGGATCAAGGGAAGTTCACTCTCTCTTGCACACTTGGGCATATTGAGCTTGACAATGCCTTGGTGGATTCTGGTGCAAGCATCAACCTCATCTCACTCACAATGGCAGAAAAGATTGGCATTGCTGAAGCATTGCAGCGCCCTACTACTTCAATCATGTTTGGAGATGTATCTTCAAAGTCTCCTCTTGTGTGTTCAAAAACTATCAATTGAAAATAGGATAATGCATCATCCAAACTGATCTTACTGTCATGGAGATGGAAGAAGAGAAGGATCTACCGTTGGTACTAGGAATCCCTTTCCTTAGCACAGTTGGAGCCTCAATTGATTTTCACAAGCAAGAAGTGATTCTCCACAAGGTGAATAGTTTGGTGTCTTATCGCCTACAGCCTAGAGGATCAGAGTATTGTGGTACCGTTGAAAGCACACCTCTGAGATCCAAGAGTCCTGAAGTTGCCAAGGTTGAAAAGGAAACAAGACTTGTGCGCAATAAGGTTGAGAAGGACAAGGGAGTTGATAAAGAAACAAGGCTTGCGAAACCACGCCTTGAGAGGCCAAGAGTTGAGCGACCACGTTCTGATAGGCCACGAGCTGATAGACTTGTCCAAGCGCCTTGTGTGCTTGATGAAGAGAGCCTTCAAGCTTTCTTTGATGAGCCACTAGGAAGGGCTCTAAAGGAAGGGGAGGATGTAGCCTCTAAGGCAAGACCAGGTGATAAGAGAAAAGATCCACCAGCTCAGGCCCCTTCAGTCAAGCCATCTCAGCTCACTATGACCTTGTTTCCCACCAAGTATGAATATGGGAAGATTGAATACAAGATAAGGTACAAGGGGAGATCAAGACCTTTCTCTAGAGCCAAGGCCTTGGTCACTTCAGAGAAATCCAGGGACCCAACCAAGCTAAAGGAGCTCCTATCCCAAGTCCTCACTATCACCCTTGATGGTGGGACTAGCTCAACCAATGCCTAAAAGGTAAAGGTCAAGCTATGGGACCTTAAACAAGCTCACTTGGGAGGAAGTCCCATGTCTATCCTTGTACATATTCTTTATTTGCAATTTCTATCTAGTTTTGTGTCTTTAACCTTTCAAGAAGTTAAGTTTAGGTGACAGAGAAGCCAGCTCGATAGACAGCTCGACCGAGCTAGAAACAAAGGTAACTCGATCGAGCTCCACAGCTCGACCAAGGTTAAATTTTTGAATTTGAAATTTCTAACCGTTTCTTTGGTCAAGGGGGTGGGTCCCACATGTAAATTTTGGTCCCCCACTTCCTAAAATCGATCAGAAAATCCCCTAGCTTTTGTCCCCTCTTTAAACTATCTTTTAATCCTCACCACACATCTCCAACACTCCCTCTTTCCCATAACTCGATCGCACAACCCCTCTCTCTCTCCCACATTTAAAGTTTTCTGAAAAATCACTCATCTCTCTCCATTCTCCCTATGAAATCCGAAAATCTCTCCATCCCTTGAGTTATTGCGATTCTTCATTGTTCTTTCTTTTAATCTGCTTTAGTTCTAGCTAATGTTCTAGTTCTTCAATCATCCAAGCAAGGTATGAACCCTAAACCCATAAATCCTTAAGTTTGATTCCTCGATTTGCTTGTTGTTCTCTTGAAATTTTGATTGCATGTTGATGTACTTGCATTTTGCATGGTTTTAGTACATCTTTTATGCATCTTTTGCATAGTTTTAGCATCCATTAGCATCATATCTTGTTCCTTTTCTCTTCTTATGCATTCATAGTAGTTTTAGGTTACATTTGCATACATGTGCATGTTTGGTCCTTTGAAATAGGTCTTTTGGAGCATTTTGGAGCATATGGGACGTGAGGACATTGAAGGACTTGGTGCATGGACGCAGCTCAACTGGATACGCAAAGGAAGAAGGAGGAAGCTGATATACCTCTAATTTACCCACTTTTTATACTGTTTTAGCATTGTTTTCTAATGGTTTTTGGCAGGTTTTCTATCTAAAAAGGTAGTTTTACTGTGTTTATAGTGTCTAGAGTCTAAACAGGTGAAATGATGCATTTTGGAGCAAAACCATAGGATTTGCACTTCAAGCCGCTCCATGCACAAGCACCAACTTTAAGAGGGCCCAGAAAAAGATCTACTCAATGGATTTCATCAAGACCAGTTCCCTGCGTGCTCTGATTGAGTTAACTTTCCAACGCAACTGGAACGGCCTAATTTGGATGAGTAGAAAAGGAGTTACAACCAAAAGAGTGAAGACTGGCTCTATCGAGAATCAGCGCCCAACCGCGCAGTCCGGCTGGCCGAGGAACGAATGTTCCGCGCTCGGCCAAATCATCGTCCGTCCGTCTGAAGTCTCGGCCAAAGTCCAAACCGTCGGCCGCACGCATCACGACCCGGGAAACATTGCCCGCGGTCGGCCACGCCACAACCTCACGCCACGCCGCGCACGACCAAAGCCGCGCGAGCCGGGAAAACGCCTCGCGGCCGCGCAACTCGTCTCGCGTACCACGCCGATGCATCCGTCCGAGCCGGGAAACTACGTCCCACGTCCGGCCGAGATTTCATCGGCCAAATCTCATCCGTCCGACCGCCATCCGTACTCGGCCACGACCCGATTGTCCGGCCGATCGTCCCGACCGACCGTCCCAACGCCGCGGTCGACCCGAAGCCCGTTTTGAAGCCCATTTCATATTTTCAAGCCCGGCTTAACCCTAAGCCGCCTCAAAAGACCTAGCACTATATATATAGCTTTTTAGCCTCTTGTGAAAGAGAGCCGCCCTTGTATTTCGATTTCCTACTCTAAGTTTTATTGCAATCATGTTTTCTTCATCTCTATGTGTGTTTGCTTTGATCATGTCTGAGTAATCCACTAGTTAGGTTGCTAGGGTTACTATTCAATGAGTTGCTTGCATGATCTTTGATTTCAATGATTAGCTAGGGATTATATTAGAGTCTTTGTCTCGTCTTGTGCACTTAACTAATGCTGATTGCTTTACCGCGCATCTAGTAATCCGATCTTAGGTTGATTTGAGCCTCGACAGTGCTGTATCATTCGCCGGACATATTCTTTGACAAGCTAGGTTTCTTAGACTGCGAAAGTTGATCTATCTATATCTAGTGAACTGTATCAGAACCTATTCATTCTAATGCTTGATTTAATCACCTAGGGACATACCAAAAGTTTAGCGACTAGGTAGATTAACAAAGGAGCCGGAGCCTCGAAAGTGGAATGGTTTTATATTCGTGATCTGTGTTCTAGATGGTTCTTAATATCCCAATATCCCTAATCAATTAATCTATCATTGTTTCATTGATCATTGCTTGCTTCTCTGCGATAGCCCCTATGACCTAGCGCTTTTCCTTTATTGATTTACAACCTCGTTATACTTGCTAGTTCGGTTCACCATTACAACCTCAATCATACTTTTGTTTTAGCTTGATCCAAAATCCATAGTTTCAAAGTGTACTCAATAGCCAGTCCTTGTGTTCGATACCCATACTTCCGCGATCTGTGCACTTGCAGAGGTCTAGGAGTTTGGTAAAACCTGACTCCACATCAAGTTTTTGGCGCCGTTGCCGGGGACTGCAGCAGTACCTTTGGAACTCGACTAGGATCTAGTCTAGAACCTTTTCCTGTTTTGCTTTTCTTTTGCTTTTGAATTTTTAGTTTTTGATTTCTTTTCTTTGATTTTTGCTTTTGTTTTTGTTTTTCCCTTTTGATTTAACTTGTTTCCAAGACTCTTTTCAGGTGCATGACTAGGAGGTCCAACAAGGACAACCTAGTTGAACATCCAGAGAGATTGAGAAGCTTAGGAAGCAAAAAGCCCAAGAGATGGCCGACGAAGCAGCTCGCGCTCACGCCGCTGAAGTGGCGCGCGCTCAAGAAGAAGGAAGAGATCCACCTCCTCCTCCTCCTAATCCACAAGACCCTGCTGGAGATGTGAATGCACAACCCCAAGCTGGAGCACCTACAATCGGAGACTATGACTCTGCCGATGCTTTCTTCATGGATAGAAACCCTATCCATCCACCACTTCCTGCAAGGAATGACTATGAGATCAAGCCTCAGATCATAGCATTGGTTAGACAGAACCAATTCAATGGCCTTCCAGCTGAGCACCCTCTTGATCACATAGAAAACTTTGAAGAAATTTGCAGCACTACAAGATCCAATGGAGTCTCTGCTGACTACCTTAAGTGCAAGCTCTTTTCATTCTCTCTTGGCGACAAAGCTTCAAGATGGTTGAAGTCTCTGCCAGCTCACTCCATTACCACTTGGGATGAGTACAAGGCTGCATTCATCAACCACTTCTACACCAAGCAAAGATCAATTTCTGTAAGGAACAAGATCTCCAACTTTCGCCAAGCCAACAATGAATCTTTCTATGAGGCGCTAGACCGATTCAAGGAGTACATTAGGGACTGCCCTAATCATGGTTTCAATGAGGGAAACCTATGGAACATCTTCTATCGTGGCATAGACCACAAGTACAATGGAAACTTTCATTGAGAATCTTGCAGCTAGTGATTGTAACAACTGTCCTGATTATGACCGCTCAAGCCGCACCACTACTAGCTCCCCTGATTCTTTTCAAATGACTGAACTCAAGAACATGATGGCTCAAGTTCTTAAGGGACAGCTCAAGCATATCAATGCAATAGAAGGGATGAGTGATGCTAATGAAGACCCATCAAGAGAATGCATGGGAGATTTCTCTAATGAAGCCAATGAAGAAGATGTGAACTACATTGGAAACTATGGGAACAAGGGATACAATCCAAGCTATCGCCCAAACCCCAACATGTCTTATAGAAACCCCAATGTGGAGAATCCTCAAGACCAAGTGTATCCTCCAAGGTATCCACAACAACAAAGACCTCCTTACCAATCTCAAGGAAGTCAATTTCAGCCAAGGCAAGGATATGAGCAGAGATCATCATATCCGCCCAAGGAGCCATATGCTTCTTCACCAAATCAAGCTCCTCCAAACCAACAAGGTGGGAGATTTGAAGGAATCCTCCAACAGATCATGGATGGCCAGAAGAGAAACATAAAGAGATGTATGAGAAGATGGACACTTTGTTCAGCAATCTCAACACCAAGTATGATGCTGTTGCCACTCATGTGAAGAAACTAGAGACTCAAGTCACTCAAACTATGGAAGCTGTTAAGAGACAGGAAGCTGAATCCAAGAAGTCCTTTTGCAACTCAGCCGCCATAGAAGAAAGATTTGAAGACCAAGTTCCAGAATGGATGCTTTCAAAACCTACTGTTGATTGCATGATTTGGCCTGAAGAGAATTACCCAGAGAGAGAGTCCAATCGAGCTAGAAAGAGAAGACTCTTCCCAAAGATTATCCCCAAGACAGATAACTCAGGAAAGTTTGTGTGCCTTGTATCATCAAAGGTAACATTCTTGAGCAATCTTTGTGTGACACAGGAGCCAATGTGAACATCATGTCTAAGAGGATAGCTGACAAGATAGGCCTCACCAAGATAGAGCCATCATCCATCTCCATCAACTATGCTGATTCATTCTCACAAACCCCTATGGCTTTGTGCCTAATGTGATGGTGCAGATTGGAAATTGCTCTATCCCTACTGATTTCCAGATTGTGGAAATGAGAGAGAGTAGCCATAGACCTCTCATATTTGGAACCCCTTTCCTGTCTACTGTGGGTGCCATATTTGATTTCCCCAATCAAAGAATCTCTTTCAACAAGGTGAACAAGGGTATGTTCTTCCCTATGTGTTCAACAAAGAACTCTTTTGTTGACATGGTCCAAGAGGAGAAAGCTACTTTGAAGCCACCCCAAGAAGGAGAAACTGAAGAAACAATCAAGGAAGATCCCATTCCTAAGCCCAAGCAGCTTGCCAAACAAGCAAGGAGTAAGACTAAGGCCCCTACACCAAAACCGCCCAAGGGATCAACCAAGATTGAAGATGAGGCCAAGCCAAGAAGGAAGGTTAGAAAACCTAGGTCTGGCCGCAACATGAAGCTTCTATTCCCAAAGGAGCTTATTGATGAGAATCTAGAAGGATTCAAGGAGAAAGTGACAAGAACTCTAAAGCTTTTTCCTAAGGCAGTAGTGCCAAGGGACATTCATGGAGAGATTGTCTATCCAGCTGTGAATCACCCACCAGATACTCATTGCAAGGAGAAAAGACTTGGAGGATCAAAGATGCCTCTTGTCTCCATCTTCTCCTGAGCGCCAAGCCTTACAGTCAAGCTAAAGACTTAAAACAAGCGCTGCATGGGAGGCAACCCATGAGGTACTTTTACTTTTCTTTCTTTAATTTCTTAGTTTTTGTTTTGCTTTTGTGTTTTCTTTGTTTTAAGATAGGATAGAAGGAGAAAAAGGTGTGAAAACACAATCCGCGCCAAACATTGGCCGCGGACGCGCAAAAGAATTTTGGCCGAGCAATTTCCAACGGGCCGACCGTACGGTCGAGCCGGGAAGGAATGGCGTGCTCGGCCGGATTGATCTATCGCGCGACAGAAACCGTTCGCGCGGCACGCACGAACCGGAAAGAAAGGCCGCGATCGGCCGAAATTTTCGTATCGGAACGGACCGACCGTGCCGGTCGATCCGGGAAACAAATCGGCCTCGGCCGAAATCGCTCGACCGCGACAAAATCCATCGGCCATCGGCCCAAAACTTTTCTCGGCCAAGGTAAGTCCCCTTTTCATTAATTCAAACCGGTTTTAACCAATCCTAAACCAACTTAAACCGGTTTTCAATCAAAATTCGAATTTGAAAAGGAAAATTGATAGGATTAGATCTTATTTACTTTACCTTTCCCTTGAAAACAACAAGAACCTCTCTTTCTTCTCCAAAACCCTAAACTCCATTAGAGGAACTCTAAGAGTTTTGATTTCAAAACTTTTACTGTTCATAACTCTAAATTGGAATTTACTTGCTCTTGCAACCTTATTCACTTTTCAACACACAAGGTATGTCTTCTAACTCTAATCCTATGTTTATGCAAGATCGAAAATTTCAATAAGTTTCATGTTTGGTCTAAACTCTTGTCTAAACTTGAAATTAGCATCCTTATAGTCTTGTAATGAACTTTGCTAGGTGGAACCTAGGTGGTTTAGAGTTAATTTGAAGTTTAATTTCACAATTGAATAGTTTTTCACAAAACTTATTGGGCATTCCAAACCCCTTATTCAAAGGTGAAATTGCTTAGGCATACTTCAATTCATTAGTTTATCTAGTGATTACTTGGATTAGAAACTCAATTTCTCTTGATTTGCTAAAATTTCGATTTTAAGCACCATAATCTTGGGATGAACAGTAAAATCCGAAAATTAACTTTGAAAAAGTGAAATTTCCATTTTGTCTCTTTGATTCATGATTAAGCCTTGAGTTGTTCCATTATTCCATATCATTATTACAACTCAATTAGCTTATTCTTCTTTTGCATTAATCACAAACTCATATTTCTTCCCAAGAATTTGCTCTTGTAGGTACACAATGGCAAAGACAAAAGGAAATGAGAGTATGAAGAAGAAGAAGAACCCATTCATGGAACCACCAAAGAAACAAATCAAGCTAGGGAGTAGTAGCTCCAATGCAAGAGCAGCAATACCAACTTCACCACATTCCATTGATGCAATCAAGAACATGTGGAGAGTCCAAGAAGAGGAGAAGATGATTGGGCACTTGTAACCTTTGTTGGAGAACAAAATCAAGACCCAAGAAAGTGTAAGAAGGCAATGGAGAAGGTGAACATCGAGCCATGTGTGAAGATGGACACCCAAACCCTTGATCTTCTCAAGATAAGAGATGATGTCACATGGTACATAAGGAAGCTAGGCTTGAGCAAGCTCTTCAAGCTAGAGTGTAGTGAGTACTCACAACTCACCAAGGAGTTCCTCTCCACAGTAGCTCTTGCCTTTCCCAACCACAATGGAGACCAACCAGCTGGTGATGGACTCCTACTCTTCAAGATAGGCGATGCCAATGGGCGCATCTCCATCTCAGCTCTATGCCAACTCTTTGGACTTCCCAATGAGACAGCACATGACTTCAAGGAGAACTCAAAGAGGAAACAAGCTGCCTTTGCTGATTGGACACACTTTGCCAATGAACCATTCTTGCCTTCAAGGTCAAAGGTGTCTAGAATCACTCATCCAGCCATTCGCTATGTGCACCGCCTCATCTCCACCACTTTCCAATGCAAACAAGAAGCCAACAAGGTCACAACTGATGAGTTCTACATCCTCACCACACCATTCATCAAGCATGAGTACAAGGCCAACCTTGGACTTTTACTTGCCAAGACATTCATCAATGTGAGGAAGCTAGCTCAAGACTTGGAAGGCAACAAGAAGCTTTGTGTTCGTTTTGGGAGGCTTATCACGGCCATAGTACACATGTGGGGATTGACATTCCCAACTATGAGCCACTACCCAAGCCAACCCCTTTGGATCTCCATGCTCTTCAGCACATCCACTTCCTAAACCGTTGGACTAAAGACCCAACTCGGTTTTGCTATGAGTTTCCAATTGGTCCAGCCAACACTTCCCTTGTCTTGCTGCCACATGAAGACATCCCAAGCCTACGCTCAGGAGTTGTCACTTTCCAGCCCAATGAGGAAGACTTCTATGTTCCATCAAGTGAGAAACCATCATTCCCCATGCTCACCTATCGCACACTTCAGCATGCAGTCAAGACTCAACGCCGCCACCAAGAACGCCATGTTCTCACTACTGGCATGGCTGCGCACCAAGCTCTAGACCGTGTTAACAAGCTGGAGAAGATAGTGGAATGCCAATCTCGCTTCATCTCACGCCTAGTCCGTGTAGTTCGCCACATTGCACCGGAGAGACTCTTTCGCCCTTCTTCCACCGCTAGAGAGCCATATGAGCCTGACCTTGGTGAGTTCTCACTAGACTCAGAGCTTGGTTCAGAAGGCGATGACCCCATAGATGAGGAAGAGAGTTCTTCTCACTGCCACACATAGTCATCTCAAGTGGTACTTAGTGCAATGGACACTTACAAATCTCCATTTTCTATCCCTATCTCATTTTAATGAATTTTTCTTTATTTTTCTTTTACTTTGAATATTACCTCTCACCTTAATGTGATTTGCTTTCACCGGGACGGTGCAAGTTAAGTCTGGGGGGAGTTTTATTGTGTTACTAATGCATTTTTCTTTCTTTTCTTATGTTTTATTCACTTTGTTTCATGTTTTTCAAAAAGTTTTATTGAGTCAAAAACCAGTCCGGAAGTTATGAACTTGCTTTGAGAATTGAGAGTGTTGTGCTAACAATCCATGACCCTAGAGCAGAAACCAGCTAAAGGCACAAGCCTAACAGAAGCTCTTACAGTGGATCGACATGCTAGCTCAGCAAAATTTCTAAGGTAACCAAGCAATCTAGAGTTAACCTCACCTTAATCAATCTTAATTACTCTTGTCAAGGGGGTTGGCATACATGTCGACAGTTCCTTGCTTGATTTTCAATAAGATTTGTCTAATCTTTAAAGAGTTCTCCTCTCTCTCCCATCCCAAATGGTAAGTAATGTTTATGAGAAAAAGCTCAAAGAGCACAAGGAAAACAAGTAAGCATGAGGAATGCATATGTCTGTACCTTCATGTCTTATGGAATACCTTAGTCAAACAAGGAACAAGCTAAAGACTTATCCTGTGGTTGAAAGAAGGGTCAATAGAAAAAATAAAATGATACCCTAGAAAAGTAGGGAGAAATTGACCTTTCAAAGTTCTGATGTGAGAAAGAGAGAGGAAAAGAACTCATTGCACTTAAAGACAATCTTGGAGAAGATCAAGTGGGTAAGAACAAGTTCAATTGATCGATGTCCCCTTGATAAAGAATTCACGCTTTAAATTTATGCAAGAGGTTAGCAATAGAGAGTTTGGATTGCTGGATGAGACTAGTTGGGTTGGTATTGTTCGCTAAACTTGCAGGGTGTATGTGAAGCTAACCTTATGTTGTCTATGTTCATAGTGGAATACAGGAAAGGAACCTTTCACAGGATATTCAAAAGAGCAAGGGAGCTTCCACGTTTTCAAACCTCTTTCACGGATTTAGATTCTTTTTGCTTGAGGACAAGCAAAGATCTAAGTCTGGGGGAGTTGATATACCTCTAATTTACCCACTTTTTATACTGTTTTAGCATTGTTTTCTAATGGTTTTTGGCAGGTTTTCTATCTAAAAAGGTAGTTTTACTGTGTTTATAGTGTCTAGAGTCTAAACAGGTGAAATGATGCATTTTGGAGCAAAACCATAGGATTTGCACTTCAAGCCGCTCCATGCACAAGCACCAACTTTAAGAGGGCCCAGAAAAAGATCTACTCAATGGATTTCATCAAGACCAGTTCCCTGCGTGCTCTGATTGAGTTAACTTTCCAACGCAACTGGAACGGCCTAATTTGGATGAGTAGAAAAGGAGTTACAACCAAAAGAGTGAAGACTGTCCAGACGGCTCTATCGAGAATCAGCGCCCAACCGCGCAGTCCGGCTGGCCGAGGAACGAACGTTCCGCGCTCGGCCAAATCGTCCGTCCGTCTGAAGTCTCGGCCAAAGTCCAAAACCGGCCGCGATCAATCACGACCCGGGAAACTATTGCCCGCGGTCGGCCACGCCACAACCACGCCACGCCGCGCACGACCAAAGCGCGCGAGCCGGGAAAACGCCTCGCGGCCGCGCAACTCGTCTCGCGTACCACGGCCGATGCGCCGTCCGAGCCGGGAAACTACGTCCCGCGTCCGGCCGAGATTTCATCGGCCAATCTTCATCCGTCCGACCACAGCGGCCGACCACGCATCCGTCCGGCCACGACCGTTCCGACTCGGCCACGACCCGATTCCGGCCGATCGTCCCGACCGACCGTCCCAACGCCGCGGTCGACCCGAAGCCCGTTTTGAAGCCCATTTCATATTTTCAAGCCCGGCTTAACCCTAAGCCGCCTCAAAAGACCTAGCACTATATATATAGCTTTTTAGCCTCTTGTGAAAGAGAGCCGCCCTTGTATTTCGATTTCCTACTCTAAGTTTTATTGCAATCATGTTTTCTTCATCTCTATGTGTGTTTGCTTTGATCATGTCTGAGTAATCCACTAGTTAGGTTGCTAGGGTTACTATTCAATGAGTTGCTTGCATGATCTTTGATTTCAATGATTAGCTAGGGATTATATTAGAGTCTTTGTCTCGTCTTGTGCACTTAACTAATGCTGATTGCTTTACCGCGCATCTAGTAATCCGATCTTAGGTTGATTTGAGCCTCGACAGTGCTGTATCATTCGCCGGACATATTCTTTGACAAGCTAGGTTTCTTAGACTGCGAAAGTTGATCTACTATATCTAGTGAACTGTATCAGAACCTATTCATTCTAAAGCTTGATTTAATCACCTAGGGACATACCAAAAGTTTAGCGACTAGGTAGATTAACAAAGGAGCCGGAGCCTCGAAAGTGGAATGGTTTTATATTCGTGATCTGTGTTCTAGATGGTTCTTAATATCCCAATATCCCTAATCAATTCATCTATCATTGTTTCATTGATCATTGCTTGCTTCTCTGCGATAGCCCCTATGACCTAGCGCTTTTCCTTTATTGATTTACAACCTCGTTATACTTGCTAGTTCGGTTCACCATTACAACCTCAATCATACTTTTGTTTTAGCTTGATCCAAAATCCATAGTTTCAAAGTGTACTCAATAGCCAGTCCTTGTGTTCGATACCCATACTTCCGCGATCTGTGCACTTGCAGAGGTCTAGGAGTTTGGTAAAACCTGACTCCACATCAGAAGCCATCTTGAAGACCAGCTCGACCGTCTACTCGACCAACCGGTCGAGTTCCTCAACTCGACCGGCCAAGCTTCAACTCGATCGAGCTGAGAAGTCAAAGTCAAACCCGAAAAATGTTGCTTCCCCCTTGACTTTCCTTTGACCCTAAACCTAATCCTCTTGTATTTAAAGGCTAAGCCACGAAAAAACCACCAAGCTTTAGATTACTTTTGTTTTAGTTTCTTTTAATTTATTGTCTTTTACTTTTTAGAGCTCTAATCCCATCTTTGTGTTCTTGAAGCTCTTGCTTCTTGAATCCTAGATCCTGGATAATCTCTTTGTATTTGCACTTGCTTATTTCAATAAAAGTTGTTTATTTCATCTCCTCTTTCTTATGATGTCTCTTTTATTGCATTTGCTTGTGTTTACATTCATGTGTAGTGAGTAGTTACCCATTAGGGTTTGAGATGGGATAGATTAGAGGTTTCATATGCTTAATCCTTCTAGCTTATGGTCTTAATCTAGATTCTCTCTCTTTTGGATAGATCTTAAGGCTACATGACCACTACCCCTGGCTTGTAAGTCCTTAGGCGATTCTCCACATGGAAGTGATGGCATTCGCTGGAAAAGATCCACTAAGAGCTCCAATATCTCTTGCTCTAGAAATAGAGGTCTAAGGGGTTGGATGGATTAGTTTGGGCAATGATCCTATGGCCTCCAAGGTTTGATTCTCACTGGCTAACCCCCTGTTTCTGAGATCATTCCTTGGTTGATAGCCTCACCTTGGGAAAGGGTTGGCTAGGCATTGAGAAGCCCAATATCAAGAGAAGCCTTGATACAAGGAGTTTTAAGAGCTAGATTGATTAAGTGTAGATTCCTGATTGCAAAACCCTGTCTTGAACCCTAATTCTCTCTTTAGCTTGTTAAAGTCGTCACTTTAGCTTTTTCTCAACTCGACCCTAAACTCGATCGAGCTGGTACTCTGTTCCACTCGACTCGAGTCCTTGGTCGAGCTGTTGCTTCTACTGCTTTTTTACTTTTATTGCATTGCATTTCATTTCTTAGGTTGTTAGTGTTACCAATCTTTACTGCTTGCTTGACTTCCTGGTTGTTTCATATTCTCATAGAGTGACAATTTCCCATTTTGGATTGATAACCCTTATGTACTACATGACTATCATGGTTAAAGGGAATTGTTGACTGTGTTTGTGTTTGCATCTTACCACCTCATCATATACCACTGTTGCATTCCACCACATCTCATTTCATATCTTTTCACATCCACACACAAATCCTATCATCAATTTGGCGCCGTTGCCGATTTGGGAATATTTTTGTTGCATTTGAGTTTCAAACACACTTGGACGATCAAGCTATACCACCCCTGTTCTATTGTACTGCTGGGTTTTTGTCTCTTTTTGCAGGTGTATGCGAACTCGATCGAGTCGGTCTACAGAAGACTTGGTCGAGCTAGACTTACAACGGGTAGAAAGAGGGTTCAGAGGTCACAGAGGGTACAAGAGGAACCTGAGGTGCTTGTTGCTGATACAATGGATGTACCAGAGGGGAATGGAAACCCTTTGGGCAATGGACTCGGTCGAGCTAGGCAAACTCGACCGATTGGTCAAGGAGATGCTCCAAACCGCCACCAACAGAGACAAGGGATTGTTCCACCACCAGTGCAGAACCACAACTTTGAGATCAAGCTGGGAATGATCAACCTTGTCCAGAACAAGATGTTCCATGGATTGCCAAGTGAAGACCCCATTGACCACCTTGATGAGTTTGATAGGCTTTGTGATTTGACAAAGATCAATGGTGTCTCTGAAGATGCCATCAAGCTGAGACTCTTTCCTATGTCTCTAGCTGACAAAGCTCACCAATGGGAGAAGAGCTTGCCCCATGGCACAATCACCACTTGGGATGAATGCAAGAAGGCCTTTCTTGCTAAGTTTTTCTCCACCGGTCGCACAGCCAAGCTTAGAGGAGAGATATCCAGCTTCATCCAGCGAAACAATGAGACATTCGCAGAGGCTTGGGAGAGGTTCAAAGGCTACACAAGTCAGTGCCCACACCATGGATTCAACAATGAATCACTACTCTCCACTCTTTATAGAGGATGCTTGCCTAGGTATAGGGAGATGCTAGACACAGCTAGCAATGGGAACTTCCTCAACCAGGATGTAGATGATGGCTGGCAACTTGTGGAGAACATGGCCATATCAACAGGAAGCTATGGAGAAGAGTATGAGCACAACTGGAGCTCGACCGCGCACTCGATCGAGCTGGAGCTCAGATGAGAAAAGACATGCTTGCACTCAACTCGAAGTTGGACAAACTGATCCTAGCCCAATTCCCTGCCAAGCATGTCAACTATGTCTCAGAACAAACCTTAGTCAAGGACCAGGAAGGGGAGGAACAACACAAGAAGTTTGCTACATTCAAAATAGACAAGGAAGCTATAGGAATCCTCAACAAGGGCATACAACAATTATCCAAGCCCCCTGGCCGCACCAACAACAAATGTTCCACAAGGTTCAACCAAGGACTACTCATACCCAACCAACTCAAGATTGGGATATGAAGGAAATGCTCCAACAACTTTTACAAGGGCAAGCCAAAGGTTCTCTGGAAATGAACAACAAGCTGGTTGAGATACACTCTAAACTAGAGTCATTGACTTCAAGAGTCCAAATCATTGAGTCTTCAAGTGCATCATCCTCTTCACCACAAGAGTATGCCCAAGCAGTTACACTAAGAAGTGGGACAATTCCCAAGAGGTAGCCCACCCCAAATCGCTGTGGACATCGATGACGAGGAAGGGGAGGATTTAGTCGACTATGCTGATAACTCGACCGAACTCGATCGAGCTGGAACAAAACCCTGAACCAGAACTCGATCGAGCTGGAGAAACTGAGACACTGCAAGACAAACCAGAGCTCGATCGAGCTGAGAAAGAGAGACAAAGCAAACTCCAGCCAACCAACTAAACCTGCGGAATCTTGGAATACGACAAGTATCAAGCCTGCGGAATCTCACTAGTTTTGGCAGATAGATCGATAAGGTTACCAACTGGAATGCTTGAAGACCTGCCTTTGAGAATAGGGAATGTAGAAATCCCCACCGACTTCATTGTGCTTGAGATGGATGAGGAACCAACAGATCCATTGATACTAGGAAGGCCATTCCTAGCTACAGCAAGAGCAATGATAGATGTCTGTGAAGGCACAATTGAGCTAAACTTGGGAAAGGACCTAAGGATGAAGTTTGACATCAAGGATACAATGAGGAAGCCAACAATAGAAGGTCAACTCTTTTATGTTGAGGAGATGGATCAGTTGGCAGATGAGCTTTTAGAAGAGCTATCATTGGAGGACCCCCTACAAGTTGCTTTGACCAAGGATTCTTCAGAAGGATATGTGAGCTCAGAAACCGAGGAATACTCGAAGCTCCTTGACACCTTCAGACCAGTTCCAAGCATTCTGAGCATTGAGGGGTTGGACAGGCCAGTTTGCGAGGTCATGGCAGTGAGCTCGATCAAGAGCTCGATCGAGTCGGGCCTCGAACAAACGAACTCGATCGAGCTGGGGACTGAATGCAAGGAGCAAGCTCAAGGAGATTGGTCTGAGCTCAAGGCCTAAGGTCGAACCTCAAACCTTTGCCTGAGGGCCTCAGGTATGCATTTCTGGGTGAAAACTCAACTTACCCTGTCATTGTGAACTCTGATTTGGAACCTGAACAGTTGAGTGCCTTGCTTGTTGAATTGAGGAAGTACAGAAAAGCAATAGGTTACACTCTAGATGATATCAAGGGGATCTCCCCTGACCTATGCATCCATAGGATTCATCTAGAGGATGAAAGTAAGTCTAGCATTGAACCTCAAAGGAGATTGAACCCCAATCTAAAGGAAGTAGTGAAGAAAGAGATACTCAAGTTGCTTGATGCTGGGATAATCTATCCCATCAGTGATAGCACTTGGATATCTCCAGTTCATTGCGTCCCAAAGAAAGGGGGGATCACTGTCATAAAAATGACAAGGAGGAGCTGATTCCCACTAGAACAATAGTGGGGCATCGCATGTGTATTGACTATAGGAAGTTAAATTCAGCATCTAGAAAGGATCATTTCCCTCTCCCTTTCATTGATCAGATGTTAGAAAGATTAGCAAATCACCCTTTCTGTTGTTTTCTTGATGGTTACAGTGGTTTCTTCCAAATCCCGATCCATCCAAATGATCAGGAGAAAACCACTTTCACATGCCCTTATGGTACATTTGCTTATCGAAGGATGTCATTTGGGCTGTGCAATGCTCCAAATTAGTTCTACATGCCCTCTGTGGGGGCCATTCAAGATACATGAAGTTCTACCCTACGGATCACTCACTCTGCTCAACCAAGAGGGGAAAGAATTCACAGTAAATGGGCATAGATGCAAGCCCTACCTAGGAATGACCCCCACAGAGGAGATTATCACTCCTCTTCAAGATCCGACCCCAGCCTAAAAGGTTTAAGGTCAAGCTATGAGACCTAAAACAAGCTCACTTGGGAGGAATTCCCATGTCTATCTTGTATATATCGCTTTTATCTTTTGTCTCTGCATTTTTCTCAGCTAAGTCTTGCAAGAACGGATTTCTAGGAAGAAGAGGAAACGAACTCGAGGCACAACTCGATCGAGCCACGAGCAAGCTCGATCGAGTGAGATGAACTCAATCGAGCGAGGTGACTCCAGTCGAGTGGAGTGTCCCGGATGGCCGTCTGCCCTCTCCTGACCACGACCTTGCATCCTAGATCTTTGGGGGGCACTGAGGTATCAAACACAACCTCTTGTAAATACCATTTCATGTGTTCTTTGCATTTTTTTTATTTCTCTTGGTTTTGCCCTCTTGAATCTTTCACTAAATTTCTCTCACACAAGGGACTGTGTGATTTAAGTTTGCATCTTTCACTTGCATTGTTGATTCGACTGTCCACTGTCGTGGCTCCAAAACCACTATGTTTAAAACAACCTAATATACTCAGCTTTCCACTGTCGTGGCTCCAACCACTATGTTTAAAACAACCTAATATACTCAGCTTTCGTTGGCTATTAGAATTGCAAACATGCATTAAAGGTGATCAAGATTCAATTGTTCACAATAAACCATAACTCAGCTTTCGTTGGCTATGATCTATTGCTCACCAAATACTAGTTTTGAGATCTAGATTCAGCACTGTCGTGGTTCTATTTCTCTAAGATCAGATTACTAGATGTACGGTAGAGTAATCATGCATTAAGCTCAAGTAAAGGTGAAGATCCATAAGATAAATCCCAATAAGTTGCAACACAATCAAATCATCACGGCCACCATAGATCTCCTCGGCCTAACTAAGAGATCTACTCGGCCATGATGCAAACAAGCAAGCAAAGCATGATTGTAAACATTATGCAAGTATTAAAAGAGATAAAGGGATGAAGAAAGCTTCTCTATTGATGAACAAAGTCGGATTCTCCCTTGAAAACTCTTAAAATCAAGTTTATAGAAATGGAAACAATGAAAAAGAAAGAACAAGAGTTGAGCGGCGCCTCCTTCTTCTTGGACGATCTCCTAGGGCTTCTCTCCTCTGAACTCTCTTCTCACACGTACACTCTTTGATAATTTTCGGACTCTTCTCTCTCTCTTCAGCGGCTAAAAACATGTATATATGGGCGAAGTCGCGTAGGGTTTTCTTCATGCCGGAAAAGGAAAGTTTCCCGCGAGCAAAGCCTTCTTCTCCACGTCGTGTATGGGCCGACATTGTACCAAGGAAAGCTCCAAACATTAGCCAGGCCTCTTCTCTATTCGATCAAGGCCTTTGGCGCTGCTGCTCGGGCCATTAGACACTCCAAATCCTCCATGGGCTTCGTTTACTCGCTTACCGGACATGTCTCGGTAGAAAATAAGTCTAGGCCTCATAGTTGATCCAAATGGCTTCATTCCACTTCGACGTGATGCATGACTCAAGTATCTATCTTTCCATATCAAGATCGTAACTTTTGGACGTCGGGAACTCCTCCGCGCGCGGCCAAACTTCCGAAGCTTCGTTCTGCGCGCAAGCGAGAACTAACACTTGGAGATAAAATGATCTTCTTGACTTGGAAACTTGCATGGATCTTGATTTAGGGCTCTTTTACTCCTTTTTGCATCCTTTTTGATTATTTCACCTACAAAGACTTCAAATCCCACAAATACAAGAAAACTACCTCTAAAGGCAAAGAATCTTGCAAAAACCGTTTGAAAACATAGTAATTATATAGTAAAATCATGTAAAATATGGTGATATCACATCCTATCCAGCTCTTAATACTTGATTTAGATTCGGTTATACTCTGTTTTCACCTAGCTCGATCGAGTTTGTCACTCGAGTTTTTTTTACTCGATCGAGCTGAGTGTCGAGTTGACCAAATCGATCATTACAATTATGATTCTTTGGGCCTTTGATTAATTTCAGGGACTAAACTTCAAAAGGCAAAAAGTTTAAGATGTTGAGAGGTGAAGGAAGCAAGGTAGCTCTTGGAAAGAAGGAAGCAAGGAAAATGCTAGAGGGAATGAGCAAAGAGGATGTGGAGGAGATTGAGAGGTTAAGGGAAGAGAGAAATTCTAAGAGAAGGAATGATCCCATCAGCAGTGAGAGCGAATTGGGAGAATTCGAGATTGGGATAAGAGAGGAGAGTGATGACTCTCAAAGTGAAGAGGGTGAAGAGGTTAGTCAAGAGATTGATGGGAGTGAACATGAGAGCAATGAGCATGTTCCAATGGAGGAAGTTGAGCCACAAGAAGAGGAGGATGAGCTCCCCATGTACCAAGAGCACTACAATGCTCTCTTCTCCATGGACTTTGTGGAAACAAAATACCCACATGATGACACATTGAGGGCTCTTGGAATCTTTGAGAATGTGGAGTTAGTCCTTAAGAACATGCGCTTGGCCAAATTCTTCTCTCATCGTATGGAGTCATACAAGGAGCTCACTTGTGAATTCCTAGCATCGATGAGGTACCACAAGTATGATGAGCTCGATCGAGCTGAGTTGGACCAAGGTTGGGGATGGTGATGTTGAGTCAGGTTTTACCAAACTCCTAGACCTCTGCAAGTGCACAGATCGCGGAAGTATGGGTATCGAACACAAGGACTGGCTATTGAGTACACTTTGAAACTATGGATTTTGGATCAAGCTAAAACAAAAGTATGATTGAGGTTGTAATGGTGAACCGAACTAGCAAGTAAACGAGGTTGTAAATCAATAAAGGAAAAGCGCTAGGTCATAGGGGCTATCGCAGAGAAGCAAGCAATGATCAATGAAACAATGATAGATGAATTGATTAGGGATATTGGGATATTAAGAACCATCTAGAACACAGATCACGAATATAAAACCATTCCACTTTCGAGGCTCCGGCTCCTTTGTTAATCTACCTAGTCGCTAAACTTTTGGTATGTCCCTAGGTGATTAAATCAAGCTTTAGAATGAATAGGTTCTGATACAGTTCACTAGATTATAGTAGATCAACTTTCGCAGTCTAAGAAACCTAGCTTGTCAAAGAATATGTCCGGCGAATGATACAACACTGTCGAGGCTCAAATCAACCTAAGATCGGATTACTAGATGCGCGGTAAAGCAATCAGCATTAGTTAAGTGCACAAGACGAGACAAAGACTCTAATATAATCCCTAGCTAATCATTGAAATCAAAGATCATGCAAGCAACTCATTGAATAGTAACCCTAGCAACCTAACTAGTGGATTACTCAGACATGATCAAAGCAAACACACATAGAGATGAAGAAAACATGATTGCAATAAAACTTAGAGTAGGAAATCGAAATACAAGGCGGCTCTCTTTTCACAAGAGGCTAAAAAGCTATATATATAGTGCTAGGTCTTTTGAGGCGGCTTAGGGTTAAGCCGGGCTTGAAAATATGAAATGGGCTTCAAAACGGGCTTCGGGTCGACCGCGGCGTTGGGACGGTCGGCGACGATCGGGTCGTGGCCGTGGTCGGATCGATCGGAACGGTCGTGGCCGGATGGATTCGCGGTCGGCCGCGTGGTCGGACGGGTGAAGATTGGCCGATGATTCTCGGCCGGACCGGGACGTCTTCCCGGCTCGGACGGCGCATCGGCCGTGGTACGCGAGAAGGTTGCGCGGCCGCGAGGCTTGCTTCCCGGCTCGCGCGGCTGGTCGTGCGCGGCGGCGTGGAGTGGCGTGGCTTGGCCGACCGCGGGACATGTTTCCCGGGTCGTGCGTGATCGGCCGGATGGTTTGGACTTTGGCCGAGACTTCAGACGGACGGATCGTTTTGGCCGAGCGTGAACACGTTTCCTCGGCCAGCCGGACTGCGCGGTTGGGCGCTGATTCTCGATAGAGCCGTCTGGACAGTCTTCACTCTTTTGGTTGTAACTCCTTTTCTACTCATCCAAATAGGCCATTCCAGTTGCGTTGGAAAGTTAACTCAATCAGAGCACGCAGGGAACTGGTCTTGATGAAATCCATTGAGTAGATCTTTTTCTGGGCCCTCTTAAAGTTGGTGCTTGTGCATGGAGCGGCTTGAAGTGCAAATCCTATGGTTTTGCTCCAAAATGCATCATTTCACCTGTTTAGACTCTAGACACTATAAACACAGTAAAACTACCTTTTTAGATAGAAAACCTGCCAAAAACCATTAGAAAACAATACTAAAACAGTATAAAAAGTGTAAAATAGAGGTATATCAACTCCCCCAGACTTAGATCTTTGCTTGTCCCCAAGCAAAAGAATCTAAATCCGTGAAAGAGGTTTGAAAACGTGGAAGCTCCCTTGCTCTTTTGAATATCCTGTGAAAGGTTCCTTTCCTCCACATATTCTTCACATACACCCTGGAAACAATACCAACCCAACTAGTCTCATCCAGCAATCCAAACTCTCTATTGCTAACCTCTTGCATAAATTTAAAGCGTGAGTTCTTTATCAAGGGAACATCGATCAATTGAACTTGTTCTTACCCACTTGATCTTCTCCAAGATTGTCTTTCAAGTGCAATGAGTTCTTTTCCTCTCTCTTTCTCACATCAGAACTTTGAAAGGTCAATTTCTCCCTACTTTTCTAGGGTATCATTTTATTTTTTCTATTGACCCTTCTTTCAACCACAGGATAAGTCTTTAGCTTGTTCCTTGTTTGACTAAGGTATTCCATAAGACATGAAGGTACAGACATATGCATTCCTCATGCTTACTTGTTTTCCTTGTGCTCTTTGAGCTTTTTCTCATAAACATTACTTACCATTTGGGATGGGAGAGAGAGGAGAACTCTTTAAAGATTAGACAAATCTTATTGAAAATCAAGCAAGGAACTGTCGACATGTATGCCAATCCCCTTGACAAGAGTGATTAAGATTGATTAAGGGTGAGGTTAACTCTAGATTGCTTGGTTACCTTAGAAATTTTGCTGAGCTAGCATGTCGATCCACTGTAAGAGCTTCTGTTAGGCTTGTGCCTTTAGCTGGTTTCTGCTCTAGGGTCATGGATTGTTAGCATAACACTCTCAATTCTCAAAGCAAGTTCATAACTTCCGGACTGGTTTTTGACTCAATAAAACTTTTTGAAAAACATGAAACAAAGTGAATAAAACATAAGAAAAGAAAGAAAAATGCATTAGTAACTGATGTACTTGCATTTTACATAGTTTTAGCACATCTTTTATGCATCTTTTGCATAGTTTTAGCTTTCATTTGCATCATATCTTGTTCCTTTTCTCTTCTTATGCATTCATGTTAGTTTTAGGTTGCATTTGCATACATATGCATGTTTGGTCCTTTGAAATAGGTCTTTTGGAGCATTCTGGAGCATATGGGACACAAGGAGCATGGAGGGACTTGGCACATGGAAGCAGCTCAACTGGATACGCAAAGGAAGAAGGGAGAAGCCATCTTGAAGACCAGCTCGACCGTCCACTCGACCAACCGGTCGAGTTCCTCAACTCGACCGGCCAAGCTTCAACTCGATCGAGCTGGGGAGTCAAAGTCAAACCCGAAAAATGTTGCTTCCCCCTTGACTTCCTTTGACCCTAAACCTAATCCTCTTTGTATTTAAGGCTCTTAGCCACGAAAAAACCACCAAGCTTTACTTTAATTTTGTTTTAGTTTCTTTTAATTTATTGTACTTTACTTTTTAGAGATCTAATCTCATCTTTGTGTTCTTGAAGCTCTTGCTTCTTGAATCCTAGATCTTGGTTAATCTCTCTTGTATTTGCACTTGCTTATTTCAATAAAAGTTGCACGTCGCTGGAAAAGATCCACTAAGAGCTCCAATATCTCTTGCTCTAGACAATAGAGGTCTAAGGGGTTGGATGGATTAGTTTGGGCAATGATCCTATAGCCTCCAAGGTTTGATTCTCACTGGCTAACCCCCTGTTTCTGAGATCATTCCTTGGTTGATAGCCTCCACCTTGGGAAAGGGTTGGCTAGGCATTGAGAAGCCCAATATCAAGAGAAGCCTTGATACAAGGAGTTTTAAGAGCTAGATTGATTAAGTGTAGATTCCTTTGATTGCAAAACCCTGTCTTGAACCCTAATTCTCTCTTTATCTTGTTAAAGTCGTCACCTTTAGCTTGTTTGTCTCAACTCGTCCCTAAACTCGATCGAGCTGGTACTTTTCCTACTCGACTCGAGCTCTTGGTCGAGCTGACGCTTCACTGCTTTGTTTACTTTTATTGCATTATTTAGGTTGTTAGTGTTACTTCAAATCTATACTGCTTGCTTGACTTTCAGGTTGTTTCATATTCTCATAGAGTGACAAGTTTCCCATTTTGGATTGATAACCTCTTATACTTCAATGACTATGATGGTTAAGAGGAATTGATTGATGTGTGTGTTTGCATCCATTACCATCATCTTTATTACCACTGTTGCATTCCACCTCATTTCATATCATTCACACACACAAAATCCTATCATCAATTTGGCGCCGTTGCCGATTTGGGAATATTTTTGTTGCATTTGAGTTTCAAACACACTTGGACGATCAAGCTATACCACCCCTGTTCTATTGTACTGCTGGGTTTTTGTCTCTTTTTGCAGGTGTATGCGAACTCGATCGAGTCGGTCTACTGAAGACTTGGTCGAGCTAGACATTACAACGGGTAGAAAGAGGGTTCAGAGGTCACAGAGGGTACAAGAGGAACCTGAGGTGCTTGTTGCTGATACAATGGATGTACCAGAGGGGAATGGAAACCCTTTGGGCAATGGACTCGGTCGAGCTAGGCAAACTCGACCGATTGGTCAAGGAGATGCTCCAAACCGCCACCAACAGAGACAAGGGATTGTTCCACCACCAGTGCAGAACCACAACTTTGAGATCAAGCTGGGAATGATCAACCTTGTCAGAACAAGATGTTCCATGGATTGCCAAGTGAAGACCCCATTGACCACCTTGATGAGTTTGATAGGCTTTGTGATTTGACAAAGATCAATGGTGTCTCTGAAGATGCCATCAAGCTGAGACTCTTTCCTATGTCTCTAGCTGACAAAGCTCACCAATGGGAGAAGAGCTTGCCCCATGGCACAATCACCACTTGGGATGAATGCAAGAAGGCCTTTCTTGCTAAGTTTTTCTCCACCGGTCGCACAGCCAAGCTTAGAGGAGAGATATCCAGCTTCATCCAGCGAAACAATGAGACATTCGCAGAGGCTTGGGAGAGGTTCAAAGGCTACACAAGTCAGTGCCCACACCATGGATTCAACAATGAATCACTACTCTCCACTCTTTATAGAGGATGCTTGCCTAGGTATAGGGAGATGCTAGACACAGCTAGCAATGGGAACTTCCTCAACCAGGATGTAGATGATGGCTGGCAACTTGTGGAGAACATGGCCATATCAACAGAATGCTATGGAGAGCACTATGAAAGTACAGATGGAGCTCGACCGCGCACTCGATCGAGCTGGAGCTCAGATGAGAAAAGACATGCTTGCACTCAACTCGAAGTTGGACAAACTGATCCTAGCCCAATTCCCTGCCAAGCATGTCAACTATGTCTCAGAACAAACCTAGTCAAGGACCAGGAAGGGGAGGAGACAACACAAGAGGTTTGCTACATTCAAAATAGACAAGGAAGCTATAGGAATCCTCAACAAGGGCGATACAACAATTATCAAGCCCCCTGGCCGCACCAACAACAAAGTGTTCCACAAGGCTTCAACCAAAGGACTACTCATACCCAACCAACTCAAGATTGGGATATGAAGGAAATGCTCCAACAACTCCTACAAGGGCAAGCCAAAGGTTCTGGAAATGAACAACAAGCTGGTTGAGATACACTCTAAACTAGAGTCATTGACTTCAAGAGTCCAAATCATTGAGTCTTCAAGTGCATCATCCTCTTCACCACAAGAGTATGCCCAAGCAGTTACACTAAGAAGTGGGCAATTCCCAAGTAGAGGTAGCCCACCCCAAATCGCTGTGGACATCGATGACGAGGAAGGGGAGGATTTAGTCGACTATGCTGATAACACGACCCGAACTCGATCGAGCTGGAACAAAACCCTGAACCAGAACTCGATCGAGCTGAAGAAACTGAGACACTGCAAGACAAACCAGAGCTCGATCGAGCAGAAGAGAGCAGACAAAGCAAGCTCCAGCCAACCAACTAAACCTGTTGCAAAGAAGAAAGACACTCCATCAGGACCACCACCATACAAACCCCCTCTGCCCTTTCCAGGAAGGTTCAAGAAACAACTGTTGGAAGCACACAAGGCCAAGTTTGATGAACTAATGAGACAACTTGAGCTGAAGTTGCCCTTCATCGACGCCTTGATGCTCATTCCACCTTATCAGAAATTCCTGAAGGATGCTGTTCAGCAAAGAACCAGGGAAGCACAAGGGATGGTAGTGTTGACTCGTGAGTGCAGTGCAATCATTCAGCGGAAGGTCATCTCCGACAAAAAGGAAGATCCGGGGAGTTTCACTTTGCCTGCATGTTGGGACCCCTATCTTTCAAAAACAGCCTCTGCGATCTAGGATCATCTGTCAGCCTCATGCCTTTGTCTGTAGCGAAGAGACTGGGATATCACAAGTATCAAGCCTGCGGAATCTCACTAGTCTTGGCAGATAGATCGATAAGGTTACCAACTGGGATGCTTGAAGACCTGCCTTTGAGAATAGGGAATGTAGAAATCCCCACCGACTTCATTGTGCTTGAGATGGATGAGGAACCAACAGATCCATTGATACTAGGAAGGCCATTCCTAGCTACAGCAAGAGCAATGATAGATGTCTGTGAAGGAACAATTGAGCTAAACTTGGGAAAGGACCTAAATGAAGTTTGATATCAAGGATACAATGAGGAAACCAACAATAGAAGGTCAGCTCTTTTATGTTGAGGAAATGGATCAGTTGGCAGATGAGCTTTTAGAAGAGTATCAACAGAGGATCCCTACAAGTTGCTTTGACCAAGGATTCTTCAGAAGGATATGTGAGCTCAGAAACTGATGAGTACAAGAAGCTCCTTGACACCTTCAGACCAGTTCCAAACATTCTGAGCATTGAGGGGTTGGACAGGCCAGTTTGCGAAGTCATGGCAGTGAGCTCGATCAAGAGCTCGATCGAGTCGAGTTCGAACAAACGAACTCGATCGAGCTGGGGACTGAATGCAAGGAGCAAGCTCAAGGAGATTGGTCTGAGCTCAAGGCGCCTAAAGTCGACCTCAAACCTTTGCCTGAGGGCCTCAGGTATGCATTTCTGGGTGAAAACTCAACTTACCCTGTCATTGTGAACTCTGATTTGGAACCTGAACAGTTGAGTGCTTTGCTTGTTGAATTGAGGAAAGTACAGAAAGGCAATAGGTTACACTCTAGATGATATCAAGGGGATCTCCCCTGACCTATGCATCCATAGGATTCATCTAGAGGATGAAAGTAAGTCAAGCATTGAACCTCAGAGAAGGATTGAACCCCAATCTAAAGGAAGTAGTGAAGAAAGAGATACTCAAGTTGCTTGATGCTGGGATAATCTATCCCATCAGTGATAGCACTTGGATATCTCCAGTTCATTGCGTCCCAAAGAAAGGGGGGATCACTGTCATTAAAAATGACAAAGAGGAGCTGATTCCCACTAGAACAATAGTGGGGCATCGCATGTGTATTGACTATAGGAAGTTAAATTCAGCATCTAGAAAGGATCATTTCCCTCTCCCTTTCATTGATCAGATGTTAGAAAGATTGGCAAACCACCCTTTTTATTGTTTTCTTGATGGCTACAGTGGTTTCTTCCAAATCCCGATCCACCCTAATGATCAGGAGAAACCACTTTCACATGCCCTTATGGCACCTTTGCTTATCGAAGGATGCCATTTGGGCTGTGCAATGCTCCAGCTACTTTCCAGAGGTGCATGACCTCCATTTTTTCAGATCTGATAGAGGAGATGGTAGAAGTCTTCATGGACGATTTCTCAGTCTATGGAGCATCCTTCTCCTCATGTTTGTCTAACTTGTGCAGGGTGTTGCAGAGGTGTGAGGAGACAAATCTAGTACTCAACTGGGAGAAGTGCCACTTCATGGTTCGAGAAGGGATTGTGCTTGGACACAAGATTTCCGAGAAAGGGATCGAGCTCGATCGAGCTAAGGTGGATGTCATGTTGCAGCTTCCTGTTCCCAAGACTGTGAAGGACATAAGGAGTTTTCTGGGTCATGCAGGGTTCTACAGAGATTCATCAAGGATTTCTCAAAGATAGCAAGACCCTTGACAAGGCTTCTGTGCAAGGAGACAGATTTTGAGTTTGATGAAGAATGCCACAAGTCTTGGACCTTGCTGAAGGATGCTCTGGTATCTGCCCCAATAGTTCAAGCTCCAAACTGGGATCACCCATTTGAGATTATGTGTGATGCATCTGACTATGCAGTAGGAGCAGTGCTTGGCCAAAAGATAGACAAGAAACTCAATGTCATCTACTATGCAAGCAAGACTATGGATGATGCTCAATGCAAGTATGCAACCACAGAGAAGGAGCTCCTTGCCATAGTCTTTGCCTTTGAGAAATTTCGAAGCTATATAGTTGGATCCAAGGTGATTGTGCACACTGACCATGCTGCCCTTAGGCACATCTTTGCTAAGAAAGATACAAAGCCAAGACTTCTCAGATGGATCCTTTTGCTTCAAGAGTTTGACATAGAAGTTGTGGACAAAAAGGGAGTAGAAAATGGAGTTGCTGATCATCTCTCTAGGATGCGAGTTGAAGACATGATCCCCATCAATGATTCTATGCCTGAAGAACAGCTTATGGCAATCATGATCTTGAAGGAGAGTTTTGATGAGAAAGTCAGGCTGGAAGAAGTTAAGGCTCTGCGTGATGAGAATTTGCCATGGTATGCTGATATAGTGAACTTCATGGTGTCCGGAGAAGTCCCTAGTAGTTTTGATGCTTACAAGAGGAAGAAATTCTTCAAGGATGCTAGGCATTACTATTGGGATGAGCCTTACTTGTACAAGAGAGGACCAGACAGCATTTACAGGAGATGCATAGCTGAAGAGGATGTACAAGGAGTTCTAGAGCATTGCCATGGGTCAGCTTATGGAGGTCACTTTGCTACATTCAAAACAGCAACTAAGGTTCTGCAATCGGGTTTGTGGTGGCCTACTTTGTTTAAAGGATGCAGCAAGCTTACATTGCCAAGTGTGATCCATGCCAAAGGAAAGGAGGGATCACCAAGAGGGAGAGATGCCACTAAACCCAATTCTAGAAGTTGAGATCTTTGATGTATGGGGAATAGACTTCATGGGACCTTTCAAACCTTCCTCAAACGGGCACAACTACATTTTGGTTGCTGTGGACTATGTGTCCAAATGGATTGAAGCCATTCCCTGCCCAACCTGTGATGCCAAGGTTGTTATCAAACTGTTCAGAACCATCATCTTTCCAAGATATGGCATCCCAAGGGTTGTTATTTCGGATGGAGGTTCCCATTTCATCAACAAGGTGTTTGAGAAGTTGATGAAGAGTTATGGAGTCAAGCACAAGGTCGCCACGCCTTATCACCCTCAAACCAGTGGGCAAGTTGAGTCTCCAACAGACAGATAAAGGCCATATTGGAGAAGACTGTGAGCTTCACTAGGAAAGGATTGGTCAGCAAGGCTTGATGAGCACTTTGGGCTTATAGAACAGCTTACAAAACCCCCATTGGAAGGTCTCCTTTCAATTTGCTGTATGGGAAGGACTGCCACTTACCTGTGGAGGTCGAATACAAGGCTTTATGGGCAGTAAAGATGCTGAACTTTGATATAAAGGCAGCACAAGAAAGGAGGGTAATGAACTTGTTTGAGTTGGAGGAAATCAGAATGAATGCCTATGAGAACTCTAGGATCTACAAGATGAGAACCAAGGCAGCCCACGACAAACTGATTCGCCTTAAGGACTTCAAGGTTGGGGACAGTGTGCTCTTGTATAACTCCAAGCTAAGGTTGTTTCCCGGGAAGCTGAGGTCAAAGTGGGCGGGACCATTCAAGATCACGAAGTTCTACCCTATGGGTCCCTCACTTTGCTCAATCAAGAGGGGAAGGAATTCACAGTGAATGGGCATAGATGCAAGCCATATCTAGGAATGACCCCCACAGAGGAGATCATCACTCCTCTAGAAGATCCAACCCCGGCCTAAAAGGGGTAAGGTCAAGCTAAGAGACCTAAAACAAGCTCACTTGGGAGGAATTCCCATGTCTATCTTATATATTTATGCTTTATCCTTTTATTTTTATGATTTTCTTGGCTAAGTCTCACAGGAGCAGGTTTTAGGAAGAAGAGTGGCAACTCGAGGCACAACTCGATCGAGTCAAGAGCAAGCTCGATCGAGTGAGCCGCAAGATGCATGGAGCGCTCCTGATGGCCGTCTCCCATCTCCAGACCACGACCTAGCTCCCAGTTCTTTGGGGGGCACTGAGGTATCCAAACACCAACCCTTGTATATACCATTTCATATTTTCTTTGCATTTGTTCTTGTTTTTCTTGGTTTTGCCCTCTTGAATCTTTCACTAAATTTTTCTCACACAAGGGACTGTGTGATTTAAGTTTGGGGGAGGGTTCAAGAGATGATTTAACCTTGTTTTCTTTGTTCTTAGTTTTTCATTTATCTTTTGCATAGAAAAAAAAAAAAAATCATAAAATTTTCAAAAAATCCAAAAATATTTTCATCTTTTTGCATTCATATTTGTTAGACTTGTTTAGGATTGCATTTTTCACTTGCATTGTTGATTTGACTTTGAAAACTTGTCCATCTTTTGCGATTTCTTGAGTGCCCTGTTTTTAGATTCTTTTGTGCATTAGGGTGAGATTGATTGAGCAGCAAGAACCATGTTTATCTTGATCATATCACTGCATGCACATCTCATTCAACCATTGCTGTGATTTGATGCATTTCCCTATCTATTTGAACCATAACTTGATCTTTAATTACCAATGCTTGCATTTGATTTCAACTCATGGCTACCACATACATATCTGGACATTCTTTACCATTTTCATATCCCTTTTGCTTGTCCAGATAGCTGATCTCTATCTTTGAGACAGTTACCACACCTTAAACCTAAGCCTTTTCATTTCAAACCCCTTATTATCTCTTGTGCGAATGTGAGAACCTTTCTTGGCTTTGCTTAGCATAAGGTGTTGTGTTTAAACCGGCAGGGGCAGTAGTTCTAGTTGTCTAGTTCTCTTGGGATTGTTTTCAGGCTAAGTTTGGGGTGCCAACTTTGTCTAGTTCATGTTTTCAGACCCTGATTCCAGCACGGTCGGTCCGTTCCGATACATAAATCCGGCCAATCGCGGCCTGTTCCTTCTCTGCCCGTGCGTGTCGCGCGGACGGTTCTTGTCGCGCGATAGAGTTAATCCGGCCGAGCATAAGAGAAGAGCTTGGCCAAGTGCATGTTCTTGAGAACTAGCTCCACATCTTCAAAGATTCCAAGGGCCTTCATTGTGTCAACATGTGGGTACTTGGTATCCATGAAGTCCATGGAGAGAAGGGCTTTGTAATGCTCTTGGTACATAGGGAGTTCTTCTCTCCTCTTGTGGCGCCTCTTGTGGCTCAACCTCCTCCATAGGTTCATCTTGGTTACTCTCTTGCTCTGGTATGGTTTGCTAAACTCAAGGTCAGTACGGGATAGCCAGTTTCAAAGTTGGTTTGTCCCAAAGAGAGCAGAGAAATGGGAGATACAAGTTCCCAAAGATAAGTGAGTTTTCGTGTTTTCAAAACCTCTTCACTAGTTTAGATTTGATTTGCTTGAGGACAAGCAAAGATCTAAGTCTTGGGGAGTTGATATACCTCTATTTTACATGCTTTTTATGCTATTTTACTATGGTTTTCTAATGGTTTTCTAGTGGATTCTTGTGTTTAAAGGTAGTTTTTATGGATTTATACTGCAAAGAGTCATTTTAGGTAAAAAGGTGCATTATGGAGCAAAACAGAGGATTTGGACTCCAAACCAGTTTAATGCCACTGCATCAACTTTGGATGGAACTAAAAAAAGATCTACTCAATGGATTTCATCAAAACCGGTTCCCTGCGTGCTCGGATTGAATTAACTTTCCAACGCAAGTGGAACGGCCTCATTTGGATAAGTAGAAAAGGAGTTATAGCCGAAATAGTGAAGACTGTCCAGGCGGCTCTATCGAAGAACCGCGGCCAGGCCGTGCAGAGCGGCCGGCCGAGGAACGAACGTTCCGCGGTCGGCCAAAATCAAATCCGTCCATCTAACGTCTTGGCCAAAGTTCAATCCATCCGGCCGACTGCACATCACGACCCGGGAAGCAATGACCCGCGGTCGGCCACGCCACGAACCATTCACGAAGTGCCGCGCACGACCATGCCGCGCGAGCCAGGAAGCAACGCCTTGCGGCCGCGCGACCTTACTCACGTACCACGGCCGATGGCGCCGTCCGAGCCAGGAAGCCACATCCCGCGTCCGGCCGAGAAAGCATCGATCTAGCAGCATGAATCCGGTCGAGTGGAGTGCTCCTGATGGCCGTCTGCCCATCTCCAGACCACGACCTTGCCTCCCAGTTCTTTGGGGGGCACTGAGGTATCCAAACACCAACCCTTGTAATACCATTTCATATTTCTTGCATTTTTTTTTTTTCTTGGTTTTTGCCTCTTGAATCTTTCACTAAATTTCTCTCACACAAGGGACTGTGTGATTTAAGTTTGGGGGAGGGTTCAAGAGATGATTTAACCTTGTTTTCTTTGTTCTTAGTTTTTCATTTATCTTTTGCATAGAAAAACCAAAAAAATCATAAAATTTTCAAAAAATCCAAAAATATTTTCATCTTTTTGCATTCATATTTGTTAGATTGTTTAGGATTGCATTTTTCACTTGCATTGTTGATTTGACTTGAAAACTTGTTCATCATTTGCGATTTCTTGAGTGCCCTGTTTTCTAGATTCTTTTGTGCATTAGGGTGAGATTGATTGAGCAGCAAGAACCATGTTTATCTTGATCATATCACTGCATGCACATCTCATTCAACCATTGCTGTGATTTGATGCATTTCCCTATCTATTTGAACCATAACTTGATCTTTAATTACCAATGCTTGCATTTGATTTCAACTCATGGCTACCACATACATATCTGGACATTCTTTACCATTTTCATATCCCTCTTGCTTGTCCAGATAGCTGATCTCCATCTTTGAGACAGTTACCACACCTTAAACCTAAGCCTTTTTCATTTCAAACCCCATATTATCTCTTGTGCGATTGTGAGAACCTTTCTTGGCTTTGCTTAGCATAAGGTGTTGTGTTTAAACCGGCAGGGCAGTAGTTCTAGTTGTCTAGTTCTCTTGGGATTGTTTTCAGGCTAAGTTTGGGGGTGCCAACTCGAGCTCGATCGAGTTGGGTGTCAAAAACCAGAAAAGTGGTAAAAGTTGGGAAAATCCAAAGGAAAAGAGTTTGGTTAAGTCCAGGGAGTTGGCAGTGTTTAAAAAGGGTCTAGTAAAGGTTTGGGAAGTTAAAAAAGGAAAGTAAAAAGGGTTCTAAGTAGAATGAAAAGAAGGCAAAGCCTCAAGTGTCAAAAAGAAAGAAAAGTTCCCTAAGTGTTTAGAAAATCCCAAACCGCTAGATGTTACCTCAAGAAGCCTCTCCCTAGGAAGTTCTTAAAAGAAAAGTGAGCAAAGCTCCTCAGTTTCAAAGGCGAAATGCCAAAAAGGGNTTCTCTATTTTTAGAAAATAGAACAGCAAGTAGAATATGAATTCTACTTTGAATATTTGAAAACGTTTAAATTTTTAAAAACATATGTTTAACACATCTTTTTTATAAAAAATGGTTTAACATTCTCCATATTATTCTTCATTTGTTATAATTTTTTGTTTTTGTAAAAGGCATTTAAAAATAATTATTTCATACATATTAACATTTTACATGGTAGTAAGTTTTAAAAGTGTATTAGGGAGTTTTTTAGCTTATATTCACAAATCTCCCTATGAAAAATTCATTCCCGCACAAGCGTGCGTGACACCACCTGTAACTCTTAAACCAAAATGAATTTGGTCAAGAATTCACTGTTTTTTTTATTCTGTTGAGTTAATAATCCAGTTTTTTTTTTTTTTAATTTGTTATTCGGTTCATCCTGGTTTGGCCATAATAATTCGTTGAGTGATCGTATGTATCTGCCAAATTGTATCTCCAATATCTTTTTCATATGGAATCCTTCTTGGCTTGTTCTTCTTCGTGGCAAACACTATACGAGTTGAGTGTGATCTCCAAGTTTTGGTTGAGTTGGGATGTTTTGATCTTGGCCTCCACTTGAGCTGAATTCAGCTGTTTGTTGCTGTTCTTTGATGGGCGAATCTGTAGCTGTTTGTTGCTGTTCTTTGTTGCTTCATCTCTTTTTCCCCTTTCAATCCGTTTTTAGAGGTGAGTGCGTGACCATAGGCTCGTGTTTCACTATGATTTTGTTGTGTGATGTGGTATTGAATTGTTCTTGAGCTGTTTTTGAGTCATGGCGGCGATTTGATCAATTTCGGGTGTTGAATCCTGTTAATTTACTGTTTCTGTGTTGATTTCATGATTTGGGGCTCGGGTCTGCAAGTCGGTGTCGAGCGAAACCAAGTTGGTGTTGGTCGACACCAGAGCTCGTGTGTCGCTCGACACAGAGTGATTTTGTTGCTGTTGTTCGACTGTTTGTTGTTTATTGCTGTTTATTTGTCTAGTGCCTCACGTAATTGGCATGTAGGTTGGATGATCCCACTTACTAAATATTTATGATAATACTTACGCAACTATTTTGTATTGCGTTGAAGGTAAAAGGTTTACGTGATCGCATAATCTAGGCCGAATAAGAGGATGATAGTTTTACTGTTTTTATATTGTTTAAGTTGCTAGTACATGGAGTTTAGGTTGCTAGTACTCTTTTACTGACTTATGTTATTTGAGTCCGCTGAATACTGATGTTTGATTTATTATTTAATTTATTGGTTTTAAGACTTCCGCTAAATTGTTTTTTTTTTTTTTAAAGGGCTTGGTTGTTTCACACTTAATATTGAAAAGTGATATGTATCTCCAAAACTCAACGACATTAATGATTTTTGTTTCTTAAGTTCATAAATCCAGCGAGATTTAGAAGCTTTGTCCGATTTAAAAGTTTCAGAAATTTTAGATAAGAAGTTTTAGAAATTTTCAAGGCTCTGGTGGCTAGTGTCCAAGATTTTTTTTTTTTTTTTTTTTTTTTGTCTTTCAAACTTCAAAGCATTAGTCTCAAATTTGAAAATATCTTCATTTGTTAGGAAAAGAAAATTTTCATTTAAAAGTCAATGAATTGGTTATGAGATTTCGACTTAATTTTATTTCAATATGTGTTTGATTTGCACATAACTAATATGAGGATTCAATTTGCACAAAATTAAAATAAGGGTTAAATTTGCACATTTTAATTTAGTTTTCTGTTTCTTTTGCACAAATTTTCTTCAACCAATCGTAATGTTTTGAATCAATGTTAACTTTAACAATGAATACTAGGTGGATCGCCCGCGACCAGCGCGGGCATGATATTCCTTGAAATTGCAATTTTTTGTAATAATAATAATATTTGATCTTTCTAATATCTTGTTTATCTTTGGAATATGTTTGACATTTTATTTAATTTTCCTGTATTAAAATTATGTTTCATAATCTTGAAATTTTGATATCAAAATGAGTCTTATAAATATTATTAAAGGTCTCTGAAATATAGAAACCAAATTGTAAAGAAAATGATTTATTACAATCTTCTCTCTTTGGAAAGAAAATGAGTCTGTTTCTCTCTGTTTTTAGTTGTGTTTGTAATCTGTGTTTATCGCTATTCTCCTCTATTTTTTTGTTCGATCAATGTTCCTTTTTAAAAATTAATTTGTATACATTGGGAAAAAACAAAGACTGTTTGAGAAGATGAATCTTGTGTTTTCATAAATTGTCATTATTATTTCATTGACTTCTTATATTTTTTTTGAAATAGTAGACTTAATTCATTTCTCTGACCGTCTCTATTATTTATTTTAGTCGTTTTTCAACTTTTTTTAATGAAGCATGCAAATGTTTTTCTGCTCATGTCTCTGAAAGTATTTTTAATTATGCCAGAAGTCATTGGGCTAAGAAGTAAATTTAATTTACTGTCAATTTCAGAATCTTCTCTTTATATATTCGCTTTAAGAATGACGGGTTACATAAATTATGTCTAAAATCCGAAGTATTATTTATAAAAATTTATGTTCTATGAGTATGTGTTCGTATTATTTACTATATGTGTAAATCTCTTGTCAATATATGTGTTTTTTGTTTAGTTTTCCGTGAATCGTAATTTTTGTTTCATAATATGTATATTTTAAAATGAAAATAAGTCATATAAATAATAAGAAAGTGTTCTCAAATATAAAAAACAACAACCGAAATAACATGATTTATTGAAATCTTCTTCTTCTTCACGCTTGCAGCACCTATCCACATCTAAACTTTTATCAAGAATCTTCCGAGCTTTCATCGTCATATTCATTGCGGATTTTCGCGAGACTGTTATTTAAAAAAATATATTTAGAAGCTAGATAGATATTCTTTTACTTTGTAAAGCATCTTTGTTTTATGTAAGAATTTAACTTACATGGTTTCTCTCAACTGTTTGACCTCTGGTATATCAACATCCACCTCAAACCGAGACGGTCCTTCAATTCCCACCAGTTGATGTTCACCTATTGAACAGAATCAGCTTAATTAAGTAAATGTATATACAAAGAAATCATTATATTTTTTATTGTATTTTTACCTTCGTTGTTGATGTCGATAATTTTCCAATCTGTTAGGACACATATTTTGACCATATCAATGACAATTCCATGAGTCTAGCATAGGTCATTAATTTGATCAGCCAACGTACCATATGCCACACAAATCAATCCAAGCTCCCTGAAATTTTGACATTTTTATTTCATATTCAATTCTTTCGTAGTAAAATACTTTTTAAAATAGTTAATTTACATTTCGTCTTCTAATCCAAACCTGATCTTTGATGTTGTTTTTGTTGTGTTTTCTCCATACAACAACACATTTGGAACTAACTCAGGAACACCAACGTAGTCAATTTGCCCTATCACATCTTTGAATTTAAGGGAAAAATGTTTGGTTAGTATTAATTAAAATATTTATTTAATCTCTTATAAATCTGCGCTTGTATTTGAAAGATAATTCACTTACCAACAGGGTACGCTGTACAGATATCTCCGAGAAAGACATCTTGAAGTTTCTTGAACTTCATGTACTTCGGTGGGTTATCATTTTCCACCGGTCTTATTTTGGTATTTTCAACCAAAACCATCTCCAAGTGGTACTCTGAAAATCTGAAAGGAGAAACTTTTCTAACAACCACGAAATCTTCGATTTCTTTCCATTCTCCTTCGTGAAGATTTCTTTTGAAAGAAGGATTGAAATATTCCCGTTTGACAGATGCATGAATTTTTCGATTCTGTTAAATTTCAAAAAGATGAACTCAAGTTTAATAGATCTCTATCTATTATTAAATGTTCTATAATATTATTAGATGGAATCACTTACACTTTCGTCTGTAAGTATGTAGTGCAAGAAAACATCTGCTCCTGGAATAGTTTCTTCCCACCTTTTAACAACGAATGCTCTAATCCTCCAATCTGTTCTTGATGTACGAAGGGCATCGATTCTCTGATAGTTTGCCATATTATCTTGAGAAAGAGAAATATTTGCTTAGACTGTTTTGATATTCTAAAATCGCTCCGATTGTGTTCTTCTTATACTCGTTCTATATCTTTTATTTACGTTCAGTTATAATATAATATTGTTATTTTTTTCCCCCCATTTTTTCAATTTCTTCATTGGAAACATGAAAAACCTGTTTTCCGAGAAGATAAATTCTCATTTATCAGTTGCTTTTATTATGATTTCATTGACTGTTTTTAATTATCGAAAAGACAACTCTCTTTATTAATTTGTCTGTATTTCTATCACATCTTATTTTTTAAATTTAACTAAATTTAGAAATTATGTTATTTTAATGCGTGATACATTTGTTGTTTTGCAATTGCTTTATTTAATAGGTTGTTTATTTTTAAAGTTTATCTAACTAAACAAATATTTTAGTAACTAAGTCTTCCTTTTATTTGATAAATTATTAATTGAATAAAATAATACAATCTATGTCATTCGTAGAATTGAAAAAGTAATAATATACATATTTTGAAAGAAACATTCTTTAAGTAATAAAATAATATAACTTATGCTATTTAACTAACCAAAGTAATATTTATAAAAATATTTGTACGATTTAATAAATTAATTTAAAAAACCATAATAAATTTATAAAACTTATGCCATTCATACAGTTTTACAGAGTCCACAAAACATAATATTTATATCTAGAATGTGGAGAATATTTATTTTCAAATACATTTTAGATTAAAGGATGACATGAATCCCATTTGAAAACTTGTATTTGATGCCTCCATCCATATCTTTTTCCGGGTTATGTAGTTATTTTGAAGAGCCAACCTACAAACAGCATAAGTTAATGAATTTGTCAAATATTTTCATAATAGTTATGTTGTGTCTAATCTCTGTTTCATTGTTTTTGCTTCAGAGATGTTTGGATCGAACCAGATTCTGGACAGCCTTTTTGAATCAACTACAAAGATATCACATGTTTGTAATGCAGTTAGTTTTTTAAAACACTTATGTTATAACATTTCTGTATACTAAAAGCGAATTTACTTACCCTTTGAGCGAGTGATTCTCCATTCACCTAGCACAGCTATCACGTTTCTACGATTCATTGATTTCCAATTTTCGTTCAAATCCTCAGCAAAATTATCACACGCGATGCAATATAGTTCAACGTTCCTTGTAATCATTAAAATATCAAAGTTTAATTCAGTTGATAAGATATACATTTTCAGTTTAGTTTGTATTAAACGTTGCTTAGATTACCTTTCGTTTTTCAAGTGAAACAGAATGCATCTTCGCTCTTCAAGAGTTTTAGGATGAGGTGAAAGCTTCCCCATGTATGAAATAGTTCCGATTAGATCTGAAACGCAATTATTAGTTCAGGAATAATAATTGATATTAGTCTTTAAAATAATTGCCGAACAATCATACCTAGAGAAAAACATTCGTCATGATTTCCATTGGTGACATCTTCAAATTGAGTGAACTCGAAGAAATGATGGTCTGAGAGAGGCTCCAGCGGCCATAATTTTGTGTCATTATTTAGCATGATCATGTATCTGTGATTAGCGATCTTGTAGTCTGATCTGTTCCAATTGTCGCATGTGATTTTGAATCTCGAGATCTCTCTCCATTCTCCTTCGGTTAAGGAAAACCTGAATTGATCCCTGCTTCTGTAACTTGTTCTTGCATTGATTTTCTTCCCCTATTAAATAATTGATTAATCGATATAAGTTCAAATCATTATTAAAATTCAATCGAACAATCAACTATGAATATAATTACTCTTTGCTATTTTATCCGATGAAAATTATGGAACTTACATGTTTGTCGACGAAGATGAAATTCAGACCGCGGAGACCGTCGACATCTAGATCATCTGTTCTGCGAAACACCTTAATCCATATAATCGATGGGTTTTCTTCCCACGGTATAAGATCACTCAAATCGCGGTGCACGGCGGCGGCCATGGTTTAAACCTAATTATTCTCAATCTGTAATCGATTATATTTGTCGTTATAATTGTAAATTATATATCTTTGATATAAGAAATCGTCTGCAGAACACACCGTTTTATTTTACATATAATTATTCATTTTTCTATTGAGTAATGATATTTTGTATAAGTTAAGAATAGGACAATTGGACTTTATTTTTGTCAGTTTCTGGTTCATGGGTTTTTTCAATATGTTGTGTAGTATGATGTGTTTCTCCTTTTTACTTACCGTAGCTTAGAATATATATATTTTTTTAATTTTATTCAATAATAATAAACTCATGTTGCAAAATACAAAAAGAAAAAAGTTTTTTAAAAATCCTTCAGAAAATCGAGAAATTAAAAGAAATTAATAAATGATACAATTTAGATAAGGGAGGTCATGACTCCATTATTTTAGATTATTGGAAAACATTCATTAGACGGTGTGAAAAGATTATCCAAATCATCCGTGGGAAAATATTCTCCAAATCATCCGTCTTTCTTGTAGACATCTAATTGTTCTGATGAGCAAACCTATAAAAACAAAGGGTAATGTATTTTAATTTTTTTTTTTACTTTGATCTTAAATATAGACAACCTTATTACTAAAAAAATTGTTGTATGTTATGTAACCTATGTTTCAAAGTTTCTGCTTCTGCGATGTTTGGGTCGAACCATATCCTTGACAACCCTCTTGAATCCACCACAAAGATATCGCCTGTTTGTTATGATATTAGTAAGCAAACATAACCATGTAAAGATTTATTCATAGATTAATTGGAGAGTATTAAGAATTTACTCACGCTTTGAACGTCTAATCCTCCATTCGCTTAACACCGCTATCACGTTTGCACGGTTCGTCGATTTCCATTTCTCATTCAATTCCTCAGCAAATTTTCCGTGAGCGAGGCAATATAGTTGAAAATTCCTAGGATTTGTATAAGAAGGTGTTAGTTTAGTTATGTTCTTGAGTAATACGTATTTCCATTCAATCTGTAGCAAAGATTGTAAAGATTACCTCTCGTTTTTAATTTGAAACGGAATTGATCTACGTTCGTTAAGAGTGTCTGGCATAGGTGAAAGTTTCCCCATGTATGAAATCTGTCCGATGAGATCTGAAACACAAATATCATATCATAAATAATAGTTATTTCTTTTCCTAATAGTAAACAGCAAATCATACCTATATAATATGAGTCATCGTAATCTCCACTGATTACATCTTCAAAATCAGTAAAGTAGTAGAATTCACGGTCGGAAAGAGGATCTATTGGGCGGATTTGTGTGTCATTATACATCGTGATCATGTATCTGTCATTAGCGATCTTGTAATCCCACCAGATCCAATTGTCCTTTGTTATTTTGAATCTCGAAATCTCTATCCATTCTCCTTCCGTCAAGGAAAACATGAATTTATTTTTGCTACTGCATGTTGTTCTTGATGGATTTTCTCACCCTATTCACAATTAGGCAATCGAACTTTGATTAAAATCATATTAACAATGGATTCGTAAAATGAACTATCAATATCAGCAGTTTATTTGTTAAATAGTGTAAAACTTACATATTGGTCGACAAAGATGTAATTAAGACCCCCGTAACCATCGACATCTAGATCATCTGTTTTTTTGAACACCTTGACCCTTATGATCGCAGTTGTTTCTTCCCACGGCAAAAGGTCTTTCAAATCACTGTGAACGGCGAGCATCGTATTAGTGTTTTTTAGAAACCGGTGAAGGCTGATATCTTTGGTTATATTTCTAGTGTTTTTTGGCTTCGATAGATTTTCGTATATCGATAACACCTCGTTCTGGTTTTATATAAGAAATCTTTATCCTTTTATTTGATTTTATCCTTATTATAAAAAAATGTAAAATTACCAAAATTTAGTATTAGTAATCATAGTCCTTATAGAATTATGTCTTTTATCGATTTGTTAGAAGATTGGCTATTTTAATTTTTAATCTTCTTTTCAAAAATTTGACTATTTTACTTTTATTAAAATAAGTTTTTGATTATTTTACTTTTATTTCACTTTTCATCTTAACTTTTCAAGAAATGTAGATTTATATATAAATTGGTTTTTCTGGTAAACAAAATCTTTTTAAAAAAACACCGGGGAATAAACCCTAAACCCACCAACCCAAACCCTACCATATGAACCCTAACCCTAGAATAAACCACGACCACCACCCCCCCCCAAACACCACCGCCCCTAAACACTACCTAATTACCCCTAAATCTAAATTTCTTTATGTTAGTTTCCTAATGTCCTTAAACAAATAAATTAACATATTAATATTTGAAGTTTTATGGGCTTTTTTATAGTTTTTTTTGTTGTTTCTTGTACTGGCCTTCATTATTACAAATTGTTTAAAATACTTTATGTTTATATGTTTTGAAAGCCCATCTATATATATGTATATATATATTTTTTTATTAATTAGTTGCTAAATTCAGTTATTTTTATTTTAGTATTCGTATTAATCATTAATTTAATTATGAAATCCAAAAACAATTAATATTTCTAAGTTATGTATAAAATGTAACATAGAATAGATAAATTCGATAAGTGATAATGTCAAAGTACACGCAAATATATTTAAGTTTAAAATAGGACAACACTCGCATTTTTAAAGACTTTAAAAAGGTTGAAAAGAAATTAGGCATGTCTAAAACTTGTCTTTGATCCATTCTTCTTTCTCTCTTGTTGAAGACTTCTAGTTGTTCCGAAGAGTCAACCTACAAAGAACATAAGACGGTCTATTGTAAATTGCTGATTTACTTTTATTTTCAATATGAACCACCTAATTATGCACTCGATAGTTATATTCTGACTCACCTCTGTTTCATGGTTTCTGCTTCAGCGATGTTTGGATCAAACCATATCCTAGACAACCCTTTTGAATCGACCACGAATATATCACCTGTTTGTAACGAAATTATTTATAGAACATATCATTTATATTGTAAAATGCTTGAATAGGAATAAAAATAATGTACTCAACATTTGAACGTCTAATCCTCCATTCGCTTAAAATAGCAATTATGTTTTGACGGTTCGTCGATTTCCATTTCTCAATCAATTCCCCAGCTAACTCACCGTGTGCGATGCAATAGAGTTCAACGTTTCTTCTGTTCATGTAAAATTTATTATTTTAGTTCTCTTCATGGGTAAAAGTGGAGTTGATATATTATATTACCTCTTGTTTTTAATCTGAAACGGGATGAATCTCTGTTCATCAAGATTATTTGGAATTGGAGAAAGTTTGCCCATGTATGAAATCAATCCTATCAGATCTGAAACAGTAATATTATATTTAGAAATAATTGATATCAATTATTAAAATGTTAAACGACTAAACATACCGAGAGAAAAATTGTCATCATGATTTCCACTGATTACATCTTCAAAATCAGCAAACTCGAAGAAGTGGTGGTGGGATAGAGGATCTAGTGGCAAAACTTGCGTTTCATTATTGAGGATGATCATGTAATTGTGTTTGGCAATCTTGTAGTTCCACTTGATCCAATTGTTGTTTGTGATTTTGAATCGCGAAATCTCTCTCCATTCTCCTTCGGCAAGTGAAAAGTTGAAGTGATGCCTGCTATTGCATGTTGTTCTGGCATGTATTTTTTTACCCTAATCACAATTATGCAGTAGATGTTAGATTTCAAACATAATATCGATGAATTATAGATCTAATTTCTTATATGTTAAATTCTGAGAAACTTACATATTGGTCGACAAAGATGAAATTCAGTCCGCGGAAACCATCGACATCTAGATCTTCTGTTCTTCGGAAAACCTTGACTCTTATAATCGAAGTTGTTTCTTCCCACGGTAAAAGGTCTCTCTAATCTATGTGTACTGCGGCCATCTTTTCGCTGATATTTTTCATAAACAGTGAAGAAGGATATGTATCGTCATCTTTCTTGTTTATATTTTTTATAATTGTTTCCGCTTCAGCAATGCTTGGATCGAACCAAAAGCTTGAGAGCCCTCCTGCATCGATTACGATGATCTCACCTAATTGTAATGTTAAAAAAGAGTTCAAATTAAAATATGAAGACATAACTTTTTAATTTTGTTTCAATAAGATTAAAAATCTTCAAACCATCTGATTTTGTGATTTTCCATTCTCTTATCACCGCTACGATGTTTGTACGGTTCATCTTTTTCCAACTCTCGTACAAATCCTCAGCTAATTCCCCATAAGCTATGCAATATAGCTCGATGTTCCTAGTATATAATTCCATATAATTAGCTATTTCTGATAATGATATATATATATGTGTAAACTAAATTTCAATATTGAAAATATAGGTTACCTCTCGTTTTTAATTTGGAATGGAATGGACCTCCGGCGATAACTTGATATGCTCGGAGGAGAGAGTTTTCCAATGTATGAGATGACTCCGATGAGATCTGAAATTCAATAAATTATTATCAAATAATATTTCCGATTTACACACTATTAAAATTCTTTTTAAAGTTTCTTACCAAGAGAATGTAAAACATTATGTTTTCCATTGATGACGTCAGCGAAATCTTTGAATTCAAAGAAGTGGTTATTGGAGAGAGGATCAAGCGTCTTGACGACAGATTCATTGCTGAGAATGATAACGTAATCGTGCTTATTTATCAGGTTTTCGTTCTTGATCCAGTTGTCGCTTGTGATCTTGAACCTCGAAACTTCCCTCTAATCTCCTTCCGTCAGAGAGAAACGGAAGTGATGTGTGCTCTTGCCTTTAATACTTGCATGAATTTTTTTACCCTAACATCCAAATTTCAAAATCTATATTAGGTTTACATGCATAATATAAATTGAGGATTTTAAGACTCAACTAAGAGAATCAGTTTCTTCAATATTTTTTTTTTTTTTAAAAAGAGAAAACTTACATGTTCGTCGACGAAGATGAAGTCCAATCCTGGATTCCCATGTTCATCGGTAACCTCCGCTCTTCGGAACACCTTGATCCTTATGATCGTAGGACCGACCCACGGAAAGAGAGCACTGACATCACGGTGGTAGCCGTCCATGGATTCCTTGTTTTTCTCTTTCTGTGTGATGAAGAACTTGAGAAGTTTTTATCTTTTATTCTTTTTTTACTTGGAGGAAGAGTCGCGATTATATAGACTCTTGGAATTTCTTTTTGATAAGTTTATTTTCTTTTTTTTAACGCCAAGAATATCTTTCGTAATCATGAGATTTGGATTGTAAGTTTATCTATATTTTCTTTATTTGTCAATCAATCTCAAAAGATTTGAAAAGAAGTTATTATTTTGCTAATCTTAATTACTTTTCCTTTTTTAAAACTAATGTTATACCATAAACAGGAAGAACTATTAATCATTAAATTAACCCTTATATACAATCATTAAATTTCCTTTTCCGGTTTGTGATTTATTGTAAGAATTCCTATTTCCAAATGTAAACTTCTTCTTTGGTGGTCTCTACTTCTCCGTTTATGTTACATATATTATTTGATATGATTATTTTTAGTATTATGGATTCTAATTTTGAAAATAAATTGTTGCCCTCATATTAGATTGAACAAATTTACAAAACATTAGTTTATATTTATTTTTTGTGTCCATTTCTTGTTTGCTTAGATATTTTGTTTATGGGTTTCAATAATGACACAATAATTATCGAAATACCTTATAACATAATATTTTAAGCCTAAATAATATGTTTCTGTTTATGGGCTTATTTTTATCTATTTCTCGTAATGGGCCTAATTATAAGTTGTCATATTTTCAAAATTAAATATATCTTTTTGTTGGGTCTTTGATATTATTTTAATCTCAAAATTGTTTGTAGGCTTTTATTTTTAGGTTGATGGGCTTACGTAATGAAACAATATACCACAAAGTGTTTGATGTTATATATAAGGAAATCTATATTTTGAAACTCATAAGAATCTTTAATAAAACGATGAAAAATTTGCATGTATTGATTGTGTGATGTTGACCAAAGACTATAATTCAATGAATACATCCAAAAGAGATTTTCGAAATTTGAAATTTATTTTGATATTTATTCAAACTGATAAATTATGAAAGTTCTACATGATTTGGATTTAGTGAAACATTTACACATGCATTGTTAGATGTTTCAGCTTTTAAGGTTTTTGTATTTTTTGGGCTTCGTCATTTGTACTTTTATTGTATTTCTTATTGCAAGTTTATTCATAAGTCTTATATTATTGCTAATTCATAAATCGAATAAACATACAATGTTGAATGTTGTAAAAAGCGATTAATTATATCTAAGAACCAAAACCAAACATAGAAAGTGTTTATAAATTGAAAGCGAGATCCAGCGTCGCTTGATGACAGATTTTATTCTTTATATAGCATGATTATAAATTCTAAACTCACTCTATGCAATCGACCAAATGTTGTTTATATAGATGTATTAAATTTAAAAACTAAAACGAAACATTGATAGTGTTTTTAAAAAATACCCAAAACAAACATGAAATCTCTGAACTTATAAAAAGAAAACAGCTAATTATCACTTAATCTTCTCTCTCTGTTCGTAAACTCGAAGATCTTTATTCTATTTTTAGACATCTTCTTTTCCTTTGCAACCTTGATAAGAAATCATGCATATTTTAATAAAAAGAATGAAGTTTAAAATAAGCATAGAGTATTTTTAAAGTAAGATAGCGCTTACGATTCCTTGAATACGTCGATTTCCTTTATATCCGGATTCAACATTATGTGTTGGATTAGTAGCTGTTATTGTAACTCTTCCTGCACATGAGAAAACCAGGAAATTAATAATAAACCAATATTACAGATTTTCATCAATTTCTTAGAAATTTGTGATCAAAAGCGTTGTACCTTTGAACTCGTCAACTATTGCCCATCTAACAACGCATATCAGTTTGTCTTTTTTATTATTAATCAAGTCCTCGTAAAAATCCTTGGCTCTATGTCCCGAGATTTCACAATCCAAGATCAAGTTCCTAATTTAAGAGAAAGATTGAGACGAATTCGGAAAAAGATACATTGCGCTATGTTAAACTATACGTCCAATTACCTTTCGTTTTTAATGGAGAATTCAACATGCTCGTCTGGTGGACAGTTACCATAAACAATAAGCGGGCCCTCATGATATGAGAAGTTTCGATCGACTTTCTTCACGTAGCATAGTTCTCCTAGAGATCTTTAAAAGAAACATAAAAAAATGTAGTTATGATATAATATTGAAAACTCTTTTTAATGGGAAAGATTAGTTACATACCCACTAAATACTTATCATCGTGCTTGAGCTCTGTAATCTTTTCAAATTCGATGAAGTCGAAAAACAGATTTGAGCACCGATAAGAGTTTTCGATCACGGTTGTTTTCTTATCAAAAAGAATCTTGTAAAGATGGACGGTTGCTCTTAAGGAACCACCTTGCTCAGCTAACATGTAATTCTTGATTGTTATCCAAGTTTCCTTATTGATAGAAGTAGAGAAGATATCAAAATCTTCTTCATCTATCGTAGCTTGTATTTTGTTTCCCTGATTTTCATATAGGAAAAAATTACTTCAAAATATAAGAGTAATATAATAAATATTTTAATACGTTTGAAGAAGATGTTATATATATACCTGATTGTCAACCAAAATCATATGAATTGTCTTTTTCATCGACGGAGTATATACGGTCCATGATTGAAGAACCTTTACCAATATTCACACCAACATTACTCTTGTTCAGCTCGGAAACACTTTCATTCTTCTCAATGACTTGGATTTCTTTGTTTCAATTTTGTTTATTCGGAGGCAATTCGACGATATCATCCCCTTCCTTGTCTTCTTCATCTTTGACACGTTCCCAATCTTCATTTAAATCATCTAAAGCATCCTCGTTCTCCTCTTCCTCACTACAATTTTTCCATCCTTCGTCCGTATCGTTTTCTTCGTCATCTTCATCTTCGCAATCACTTTCCCATTCTTCCTCTGTTTCCTCTACTTCATCATCTGTATCACTCTCGTCTTCGGAATCGTTGTCGTTATTCTCAGAGTCATCGTCTGAATCATCTTTTGAGCCATCGTCAGACTGCTCTTCTTCTTCTCCCTCAGTCATATCTGAATCCGAGCGCTCATCTATGTCCTCTGGTTGGTACTCTTTATCTTTGTCCTCATAGCATTCTTCCTCGCTATCTTCCTCGTTTGAATCACTCAAGAGAAATTGTTGTGTAGAATTATCCTCTATGTCCTCATCTTCAACACCGGTGTTATCATCACCAGTGGATTTTTTCCTAGGTTTTCCTATTAATAACATATTGAAAATATTGTTCGTTTTAGTCACTCTCTGAAACTGGAAAAGAAGATTATTTGTTTATTCTATTACCTTTGTTTTCCGTAAACGTCTGTTCTGCATGGCCTTCATGAGCCAAAAAAAAAGTATTGTATTTTCTAAGGTCGTCAGTAGATCTGGTAGACTTTGAATATGAAGATATCTTTGGGAATTCTCCTGATCCTGTATAGCATGAAGCAGGACTAAATCAGTGCCAAAGTACGTTAATAATAAATTGGTAGAGAACGACTATTTGTATTTTTAGAGACTCACCGATTACTCCGATTTTTGATCCAAGGATGTTTGTTCTTTTGACAGATGAGGCTGAGTTATCGTTTTGATCATCGACACGGTATAGAGAGAGAGACATTCTTTTTTTTGGTTGAATGTGCGTCTTGAGTAGTCGATTGTTTTGTTTATATAATGACCTTATTCCTTTTACACATGAATATCGATAATTGTCAATTTCTATTTTTTCGTAGCTATTGTTACTTTACTCCTAATAGGGATATATGAAGTTTACATATATCGTACAACTTTTTTATATTAATATTTCATATAAGGCGTATAGTTATCTTTTTGTTATTGAAATTACTATTTTTATATATTGAATAACGTGCGATTTTCTTTTTTGAATCGTTTTTTTTTTAACTTCATCTTTTAATAGTTTTATTTTATTTAAAATAAGTCAACTTTGAAAGTAATTTTTTTTTCCTTTTTAAGATTTTGACTTTTTTGGACACACGAGTTTTAAAAAAAATTTAAAATACTTATTAAATGGTAATATCTCATAATAAATTAAAATAACCAATCATTAAAATAACAAAAGTCATCATTAGAATAAACGTAAATAATTATAATTGATTCTAAAACCTAAGTGAATTTGTTCCGCACCAAACCCTAAGTGGGTCAACAATTTGGTGTATGTCAATTAAGAAAACAAACATCCGTAACGAACGACGTGATGCCCACTCGCTTGCTCTTCTCAGTATCTCGATATTTTCACAATCAACATCAAGGAATCCTAAAGCCTTCCAAGCCCCTTCGAATGTTTGGTGAACAACTCCTCGAATTGTTCTTAGATGTTCGTAACATCCAGGACCTTTTATCGCGTGCAGTAAAACACGCAGATAATAGATCTCACCTGCAAAAATGTCTACATGTGGAATTATACAACTCCGGAAATCAACATGTCTAGGGCTCCAGAACTTAACCTCACCATTCCATATTGACTTGTTTCCAAATTCGATGTAGGTCAGACGTCTGTTGTCTTCAGTAATTCTATTACCTACCATCCACATTAAGAATTTGGTTTCATCTTCCGTTATCTCTTCGTTTGATGATATCTCTCTTGGCAGATGGAAAGGTAGATTCTCAGTTCGCATAGATTTTATTTTGTTCGCTAAAGTAGGAAAAAAAAATCTTTGTTGTTTTAAAAGATCATTCGTAAGAATAGGAAGGCAAAGGATTATATAGAAATCCTCCGACTTGATCTTTTCCTTTTATTTCTCAAGCTTGATGTCTTGGATTTACATACATTATTTATTAATATTTAAATATATTAAATTTCCAATTATCATATGTAATTTTGTCCGTATATAATTCTTTTGGGGAAATATTATTCTTCTGTTCGTCTATTAAATTTAAAGATAGAGAAAAAATATAATTAATTAATAAATCAATAATTTGAAAAAACACTAATTGCAAACATTGTATCATATATTAAGAAAACAATATAATTTATCTTGCTATGATATTTTCGAAAACCTCCTTATATACGACATTGGTAGTCTTATTCTTTGGCTTTCCCTTATCATCGGTGATTAGAATCTTTAATCCTTCTCTAGACGTGACTCGTGAAACAGCAACGTACAGTTGACCATGCGTGAACACGGGTTTGGGTAGATATAGACCAACCTTTTGCAGCGTCTGCCCTTGGCTTTTATTGATTGTCATCGTAAATGCAACGACAACTGGAAATTGTCTCCGTCTCATTCTAAAGGGGAATCTAGCTTCTGGAGGAGATACATACATTCTCGGCAACAACACCTTTATACCAGTTTTGTCACCAGTTATAAGTTTCGCTTCAATAACGTGGCTTGCAAGCTGGGTTATAAGCAATCTCATACCATTGCATAAACCTGCGTGCGGATCAATATTCCTCAATAGCATGATTGGCGTTCCAACTTTAAGAGTCAAACTATGATTACGCAGCCCTGAAATCTTGATGCTGTTTAGATACTCTTGTGTATACAACATGTCGTCCTTTGAGCTTGTGTCCGACGTATCTATACTATCGCAGCTCAAATATGCTTTTTCTTCTCCTAAAACACGTTTATTTTTGAAAATCAGAGATGTAAAACAATTGAAATATATAACTCACATAAATTTTATTGAGTTGGATATCGTACCTGATAATTGCGATAACATGTAGTCGTTGATAACATCGACGTCTACGTTCCTTGGACTTAATATAGCTCGCCCTTGAAAGAACTTAGGATCAACCTCTATCCTGAAGGATTCACCGTACACTTCTTTTATCAAACATTCCATTGGTTTCTCAGTGTCTTTAATAAGCAAGTCATCAGGAATATCAATCTCAACTTCTCCATCGTTCGGTTCGTTGATTTTCCCATCGCCAATATCAAGAATGAATTTGGAGAACTCGGCAAGTTCACGAACCCTATTAGGATCATCACGCCCTTCCAGACGCATATTTTTGGTAAGTTCCATGACTTTGCAATCCTTCCACAGGTAGGATGAATTTAACGAAGTTAAGACGGTCTCCTCCCTCCCACCGTCGACTACAACCGGTAGTATCTGCCGAAAATCTCCTCCGAAGACGACAACTTTTCCACCGAATATCATATCTTTCTTTGTTATATCATGTAAACTTCTGTCAAGTGTCTCGTAACAGAACTTACTCATCATCAGAGCCTCGTCCCATATAATAAGATTTGCTTGCCTTATCAATTCCGCTTTTTGAGATCCACTACTTATCTTACACATTGAACCTTCATTGACAACAAGTGGTATCGAGAACCGAGAATGTGCCGTTCGACCACCTTGTAACAACAACGCAGCAATTCCGCTTGACGCAACATTGAGTACAATTTTGGCTTCAGTGCGTAATGCCGCTCCTAATACTTTCCAAACAAAAGTTTTGCCGGTACCACCATAACCTTGAACGAAAAACATGTCACCACTGTCATTTTTCACGGCTTCCAGGATCTTATCGTGTATATCTCTTTGTTCCGAAGTTATAGACGTCATAATCATAACGTATTCTTCTTTTAACTCTGGAGTGTTGTAACTTTTCTCATCTAATATTAGCTGGTTTATACTTTTATCCAACGCCATGCCCTCCGGAACATGCATCCCGTCAACGTCGCTCAATGAATTTCCATTTCTGCGCAAGTATTTTTCAACTTTTCGCAAACATATGTTCTTTAGGTCATCCTCGCTCAGCGTCGCATCTGCATTAATTTGATAAAGTTCATGTTTAGTACTACATCAAATTAGGTTATCAAGCATTAAATAAGATATATACCTCAATTACCGCTCTTCTTTTTCAGTCTGTATAAAATATCGTCGGTTAAATATATCCAAGTATTGTTCCAAAGATCTAGAGGTGAAGCAACACATTTAGATAACAGCAAGAGAGCAAACAGCCTTCGCAGAAACTTTGATGAAGCCCATTCGCTACCTTCCTTTATAGCCTCTGTATACTCTTTATCATCATCACACAAACCTAACGCGTAGCACGCATCTTTGAAGGTCTCGTAAACTAACCCGTCCACAGTTCTAATTTCTTCGAAGCTTCTTGGACCTTTTATTATGTTCAAAAGAACTCTTAGATAGTAAGACTCAACGGCAGAAGGAGGAACATACGTAAGCCTTCCGATGGCGAATCCTTTTTCTCTTGGTTTCCAAACTTTGGTTCTGTTGATCCAAACATATTTTGTTGGAAACTCAGCGTAGGTTAGATGTCTTGCTTCTTCATACTGACAATTAGCCTCCATCCAAGCTAAGAATTTCGATCTTGTTGACGTAATTCTACTCATCACTTCTTCCACCGGGTCGTCTTCATTGTAAACTACGAATTGTTGTCCCGGTAAATGAAAAGAAAGTTTAACTACTGACGTAGAGCTAGTATTCTCCAAGTTGCCTCAGTTGGTGATATATATCTGCATACAATTTAAATGAGTAAACATATATCTGCATACATATATCTGAACTTCTTAACTTCGTTTTTGTCATCTCCTTCTTGACCATCCTTTTCTACTGTAGCTCTTACATAGTCAGCTCCTTTAGTAATATACTTGAAAAGATATTTGATTGCCCTTGATTGGTTACACCATTCGATGTTGATGTGTGCTCTATATCTTTTTAAAAGGTCGCCATTATATGGAACGATGTATCTGTTATCACAACCAAATCCTCTTTTTATAATTGTTCTTCCATCATCTCGTCTCTTGTAGATCGGGTATCCGGCGTCGTCAATCTTCGTATACGGACTGTTAGATTTCGGAAAAAACTTAGTACACTTTCCGTCTTTCATACATACACACTTCTTATTAGCTTCACCACAGGTCCATGAAGCATAAAATCTCCAACTATCTCATATAACAATGGTTCCATATCTTTATCTGGAATCTCGGCGCTTATGAACCTATCTATGTCATCTCCAGTGGGTAGCTTCGAATCAGGAAGTAAAAATAGCACTATGTGAGCGTGTGGTAGCCCTCTCTTTTGAAACTCGATGGTGTACATTGCTGCATTAGAGATGCTAAACATTATTATATATAAATAGGTAGATTTTACCGGAATATTAATGTATATATGAAAAAAGTTTATGTACCTGAATTCAAAACACCCAAAACCTTGTCCATCTTTAGATGTTCCATCAAATTATCGAGTTTCATCTTGAAAACTCGGCAACAGATATATGGTCTGTCCTCCGTATTCAAATTATGTTTCTGAAGGAACCTCGTTATCTCAGGCCATTTGGGATTGCAAGTTATCGTAATGAAGAAATCTGGATACCCGAAATGCTTGCATATAGACATAGCATCCAGATAGTGTTGCATCATGTACCTTTTACCACCAGTGAAAGAAGAAGGTATATAAACCCTTTGTCCTGTCTCCGATATATCACCGTTTCCTTCATCAGCCTTTTTCACCAGTTTATCCAAACATTCCGAATGCAGATTTTTCTGATTTAGCCATATATATCGGAGTCTATTAGACTCAATCATCGTATAAGCATCGACCAGGAATTGTCGGTATAATCTTCCGCACATAACTATTATAGGAGATTCTCCATGTCTCTGTTGAATACGATAAGCGAAGAACTCGCGCATCGTTATGGATTTCCTTATTCTTCCTTCAACGTCTATGAAGCCAATGTCGATCCCTAATCTGAAGCCATCTTCGCCAAAAGGAAATATTATTGGATACTGAAGTGCTAAATATGCCGGATGTAACTCACTAATATGCTGTAGTTTTCCACTCCTGCTCTCTATTATAATATCTCGTTTTTCCATATCACCGCTAAAATCTCCGGGTATCAATGCAGCTACATCATCTTCTGTTGGGAGGTTGTGTGTCCTTCCATCCGATTTTCTTCCGCTAGCAAGGCGCAATCTCATTCCATGCATATCCTCTGCTCCTTGAAATTTCTCTGATGCCGATCTAAATGCTTTGACATGAGGATTGTGATCGTCTAACATTTTTTTCTGAATATCAACTATATCCTGCCGTACACCATCCTTTCCTCCAGATTTCCTACATAGACGAACTCAAAGTTATTGGTGATGAATAGGTATTACATGGTTGATAACGTTAACTTGTGTAAATATTATCTTACCCAAAAGCTTTTATTCTATTGGATACTTCATTCATGGTATCATGTATGTACAGTTGGAGAAAGGAAGGAGCATTGTCAGCCTCTGGCAATAGATCTCCTATGAGGTGGTAGTTTTCTCCGCTTAGCTGGAACAAATAAGGCGCAGCTCCACTGTTTATAGCGTTGTTGACCTTACCACCGAGTGAGGTAAACGAAAACATCATGTTGTATGCCCTTATAAAATGTCGAAAGTGTCTCCTTGTTTCATCATCATCATTGTATAGGAGCTTTAGCAAAGGTTTAGGTGGAGTTTTGAGAACGGGAAGACTAACTTTTCCCTTATGGCAGCACATAGTGAAGACCGGTCTGACTGAAGTGAATCTTTTGTTAATATGTTCACCAAACCACATGAACGCATCACAATATTCACACATATAGTTTGGATCTCCGTCGTCGTAATACCCTGAAACAGAATTAATTAATATGATTGAACCTTAAAAAGATAATAATTTGGAAGGGAAAGTTTATTTATACCATCATCATTGAGTCCTATTTGAGCATCATCTAATGGAACATATTCAGCAGCTTTCTTTTTCCTTTTACGGCTTGCTGGAATATGTTCACGTTTCTTATCCACATTATCTGACTCTGAGTCAGTTGTTGCAAAACATACAAAGTCCTCTACTTCTTAAGACTTCGACAATAAATCTGTGATTTTGGAAGGTTTCAATGTGTAAGGTAGTGGAACGATAAATATGTTTTTTTATTTTATGTATTATAAATTTTAATTACCGTTATTGTTTGCTCTCGTAGCTGCTCTTTTCGATCTCATAATAGCTATTCTCTTTTTTATTGCAGCTTTGTATCTTGCTTCCTTCGACATTTGCACACTCTGGAGATCATCATTCGTAAAAACATGAGGAGCCGGCGCGTATTCTTCCGCTCTTGATGTTTTACCTGTTTTACGACGTTGTTAATAGGTTAGTTGATTCTGATTAAAAAATCATAGTAATCTTACATATTCCTATTAACGATGTAAATAATTACTTACGCTTGTTGTATGCCGGAATCTTTTTAGCTGTTTGCTTTCTCGGGGCGTATTTGGTCGGTCTCATCTTCTTAGTTCTTAGATAGGGAAGATTTATCTATCGTGTCGTTATTAACCTAAGAATAGCGGATCTTATATAATAGGTTGGAAGATAGCGGTGATATCAATATGTATTATTCCTATTTGACAATTGTCATTATCTAGAATATTTCCTAATCATATAAAATTATATTTGTATAATACGTTCTAATTTACTTAATTAAACTTTCCAAATTTATGCTTTTATATTTGTTAGTACGTAATAGTGGAAATAGAATATTAACGTCTCGGTTAAAAATTTATCAATGTCAAAAGTTATCATCAGTTCTAAATAATCAATATTACTTTTTAGACTCGTTTATTGTTCTTTTTAATAATCTTGAAGCTTTTGATTTGTGTATTTATATCATTAACTCCACAAAATAATATGATATTTGATTTATGCCAATATTATAAACGTAGGTATCGATCAAAACTTAATTCTAGTCTTTAGTTGATTATATAAAAAACAAAACATAATATTCATGAGGAAATAAATCAGAAATATCTAAACATAAATATCTAAACATAAACAAAAATTATGTTAATAATATAAATAAAATTAAATATAGTTTCTTTTCGTTTAGTTAGTAATGACTAAACAATAATACATCGACGAACTAATATATTAAAGTCATAGATGTTATCAAATTAGGAGGCTTAATATAGTGTTCATCTTTTTAATTATGAAAACGGTTTGTAAGTTTCCACAAAGAACAAATTCATGCGATCTTTATTCCTTAGGTGATTTTCATTCCTTATATGATCTTCTTTTCAACTCCTCATCAGTTCTAAATAATTAATATGTTTTTTTAGACTCTTTCACAAAGAAGAAATGTATGTGTTATTCATTCCTTCATTGTATTATGTATGTATTTTGACATATTATTTTTAACGTTCGACAAATGTTTCGAGTCTTAATTATTTTTCATAATCTTCAGAAATTTAATAAATTATTGTGTATTGAAATTTTATAAACGAAAGTCTTCATGAAAAATGTAAATAAATTATTCGTGAAATACTCTCTCAAAGTAAAAACAAAACATAATATTATATAAGGAAATCTTCCGATTATTAAAGAAAAGAACAAAATAAATAAAAAAGAATTAAAATTAAACATTTTTCCCGGTCTTCGTTTTCTTGTTGCTTCGCGTCGTCATACTTCTATTTGATGATCTTTTCATAGCTTTAGATGAAGTTGATGACACTGATGGTTCAGACTCTTCATCTATTATAGGCTGCATAAACTTAAAAATATAAAAACGTTTTGAAAATATTGATTATTAATACCATATAAATTTTAATACATTTGAAAAGAGTTGAATATACATACCTCTATTGCATCTCGAGCTTTAAATCTTTCTAGAAGCAACTTGTCATCACTTATGAGATCAACCTTCAACGATATCTTACTGCTCCTTAGGTTCTCTTCTGCGAAAGAAATTTTGAGAAGGAGCTCTTTACCAATCATATTCCGTAATGCCTCAGGGAGAACAGATGGAGCCTCCTGTTGAAGTTATTATTTAAGATGGTTATTTAGTAATTCTTTCAAATAATACTGTTTGATGATTACATGTTTCCTAATTTTCATACCTCCGCTACTTCGTTTGCCAAATCAACAGCTGGAATTCTCAGAAAAGGGGCTGCAATCGTATCAAAAACAATGAGTTTTGCTTCGCAGGTATTGCTATCATCAGTCACGAACATCACTATTTTGTACCTGCATAAATTAACGATAGTATTTACTAATAAGATAGATATTTTAATACGTCTTTGATTCTGGGAGCTTGTAATTAAGAATTCCTTACTTGACATCAACTTCCGAGTAGTTCTTGTCGCAACTCAAACAGTAAAACATCATCTGTTCATTCTCGTCATCTAGACTCTCACATGGATGGACACCTTTACGGCATGTTGTGCAACCCAAATAATACCATTTATGAGTTGTTTGGATGGAAGTAACTATTGCAGAAGTAACAAACTTTTCAACCTATAATTTCAGGTTGTACCAATAAATTAGATGAAAAGTCATTAGAGATAAAACAATATTTTTTTTTAAAAATAATCATACCTCGAAATTCTGTGTAATTCTTGAATGGTTTTCTTTTTATTCTTCTTCAAAAATTCATCATCCCAATCCACTTTATTAGCGCTGGAAGATGACGAATCGTTACATGTAATGGTTGTATCATCATTCGGCAACCTGAAAAAACAAATAAGAAATTAGTAAGATACATAGTAAAGAATATTAAAAATAATAACAATACATTAAGATTATAAAATATACCTTGATATGAAATCTTCAACCTGAGGAGTTGGTGGATCGAAAAGCAGTTGTGTTGCGTTGTAAGAGTTGGATATGCTAAAAACGTCTGTAAAATAGGACGATTTAGTATATGATATACAACACAATCATAAACTAATATTTTCAAATAAAGCAATTTGCATGTAAGTACCTTTCCATTCATTGACACATGCAAAATTAACAACACAGATTATCTTTCTTTCCTTATTAGCCCCAACATAATCAATGACTTCTTTTCCGAAATCATTCCATAAAGTGCAGGTCAACCTTTTATCACTGCAAACAATCAAAAGTTATCAGCGATTATTGTTGGCAGATATTCAGATTTATATTTTGAATACTTACTCTTGATCACGTAAAGTAATATCCAGTTTTTTAAGTGCCTTCCCTCTAATTTGTCTCTCCTCCATCTTTCCGATGTTTGTTATTTGACCAATTACATCTGTTTATTAGATATACGAAATATACACATCAGCATCAAACAATAAAAAGTTTCAAAAGATATAAGAATATAAGGAATGAAACGTACCTATCAGAACTTGATTATTATAAAGCCCAGCATGTATATTTGAGAAAGATCTGAAGTATTTGTTCGTTTGATTTACGATGAAACCATCACATGGAACAATATTTGTCGTCGCGTAGAACGTTATTTTGAAATCCAGCGGATTAGTTCGATACAGTGTGTTGTAATCGGAGAAATTGAAATTGCTGATTACATACGAACTACTCTCTACTATTTTCCCTTCAAAGATTTTAACATACGCCTCGTCAATTGAAGCCTGGATTCTAGTACCCTGCATATTTGATCAAAAAGTATTAAAATTTAATCTTTATATGATTATACGTGAAAGTTTTTTTCTCAAAGATATAACAATGTAAAAGCTTACGTCTTCGTCGACCAAGACCATCTCAATGGCTTCTAGTACCCTGCATATATGATGTATAATTATTTGAACTAAATCATTATATGAGTAGATGAGAAATACATATTTTTATTAGCTATAACAATAAAGAAACTTACGTCTTCGTCGACCAAGACCATCTCAATGGCTGAGATCTTCTTTCCACTTTGGATGTTCCACTTTTTCATCACTTGGACTTTGATTTTGTAATTGGTCATCTCTCTGTTAATATCGTCAATCTTGACCATGAGAGTTGGCTTGTTTTTTAGAAACGACATATTCATCGTAGTAGGAGAGATTAATCAGAAAGATTTAGGACGATATGAATTTGTCATAGAGAAGATCCTTATAAATACTCGACATTAGGTCGGTTTAAAACTATGATTATCTTTTTTAAAAAGAAGATGTTTAAGGTCTATTATTAATGAAACTTCTAATACTATCGTATATAGGAAAATTAACTTTAATTTATTTTTTATATATACACGGATATTATGGATTTCTTGTAACTTCCAATTTATTATTTCATATCTAAATAGTAAATATGCCACTTTTAAAAAAGTTTGTTAGTTACCCATAATTTACGTGCCTCTATCTAGAATATTTCCTTATTCTCTGATTAACATGTTGCTTTTTTAATTGTTTTCGTAAAATATGAACTCATTTAATATATCGCTTATATTTTCAAATATTAAACGGTATATAAATTTTAACACAGAAAACAATTATTTCTTATTCATTCTTTCTTTATATTATGTATTTAAGCCATTATTTTTTTAACGTTGGACAAATGTATACACTCTTAATGATTTGTCATAATTTTCAGAAATTTAAGAAATTGATGTGTATTAAAATTTAAATAAAAGTAATTCTTCATGAAAAATATTTATTTTTATGCGAGTAATATTATCTAAAATTAAAACCAAAACATCATATTATATAATATCATTTTAGAGTATATGAAAAACACCCGGATTATTAAATCATAAAACAAAATTAATAGAAAGAATTAAAACTAAAAAATATTGTCAGTCTTCTTTTTCTTGGTGCTTCGCCTCGACACACTTCTTGTTGGTGATCTTTTCATAGCTTTAGATGAAGTTGATGTCACCGATGGTTCAGACTCTTCCTCGATAACAAGCTGCATAAAGAAAAAATTTTAAAACGTTATTGAAATATTAATTTATTATTAATACTATCTAAATTTTAATACAAAAAAAAATCGTTGAATTTACATACCTCTTTTGCATCTCGAGCTTTAAATCTTTCTAGAAGCAACTTGTCGTCACTTATGAGATCAACCTTCAATGATATGTTACTGCTCTTTAGGTTCTCTTATGCGAAAGAAATTTTGAGAAGGAGCTCTTTACCAATCAGATTCCGCAATGCCTCGAGGAGAACAGATGGAGCCTCCTGTTAAAGTTAGTATTTAAGATGGTGATTTGGTAATTCTTTCAAATAATACTGTTTGATGATTACATGTTTCATAATTTTCATACCTCCGCTACTTCGTTTGCCAAATCAACAGCTGGAATTCTCAGAAAAGGGGCTGCAATCGTATCAAAAACAATAAGTTTTGCTTCGCAGGTTTTGTTATCATCAGTCACGAACATCACTATTTTGTACCTGCATAAATTAACGATAGTATTTACTAATAAGATAGATATTGTAATACGTCTTTGATACTGGGAGATTGTAATTAAGAATTCCTTACTTGACATCAACTTCCGAGTTCTTCTTGTCGCAACTCAAACAGTAAAACATCATCTGTTCATTCTCGTCATCTAGATTCTCACAGGGATGGACACCTTTACGGCATGTTGTGCAACCCAAATAATACCATTTAGGAGTTGTTTGAATGGAAGTAACTATTGCAGAAGTAACAAACTTTTCCACCTATAATTTCAGGTTGTACCAATAAATTAGATGAAAAGTCATTAGAGATAAACACTATCATATTTAATTTTAAATAATCATACCTCGAAATTCTGTGTAATTTCTTGAATGGTTTTCTTCTTATTCTTCTTCAAAAATTCATCATCCCAATCCACTTTATTAGCGCTGGATGATGACGAATCGTTACTTGTAATGGTTGTATTATCATTCGGCAACCTGAAAAAAACAAATAAGAAATTAGTAAGATACATAGTAAACAATATTAAAAATATTAACAATACATAAAGATTATAAAATATACCTTGATATGAAGTCTTCAACCTGAGGAGTTGGTGGATCAAAAAGCAGTTGTGTTGCGTTGTAAGAGTTGGATATGCTAAAAACGTCTGTAAAATAGGCCGATTTAGTATATGATATACTACACAATCATAAACTAATATTTTATAATAAAATAATTTTTGCATGTAATTACCTCTCCATTCATTGACACATGCAAACCTAACTACACAGATTATCTTTCTTTCTTTATTAGCCCCGGCATAATCAATGACTTCTTTTCCGAAGTCGTTCCACAAAGTGCATGTCAACCTATTATCACTCCCAACAACAAAAAGTTGTAAGCGTTTATTGTTTTAACATATTCAAATATATATTTAGCAATACTTACTCTCTTGATCACGCAAAGTAATATCCAATTTTTTTAAGTGGCTTCCCTCTGACTTGTTTATCTTCCATCTTTCCGACGTTTGTTATTTGACCAATTACATCTGTTTATTAGACAGACAAAATAGAAACATCAGCATCAAACAATAAATTTTTGGAAAAGATATAAGAATATAAGGAATGAAACGTACCTATCAGAACTTCATTATTATAAAGCCCAACATGAATATCTGAGAAAGATCTGAAGTATTTGTTCGTTAGATTTACGCTGAAACCATCACATGGGACAATATTGGTAGAATGTTATCTTGAAATCCAGGGGATTAGTTCGGTAGAGGGTGTTGTAATCGGAGAAATTGAAATTGCTGATTACATACGAACTACTCTCCACTATTTTTCCTTCAAATATTTTCACATACGCCTCGTCTATGGAAGCATGGATTCTAGTACCCTGCATATATGATGTATAATTATTTGAACTAAATCATTATATGAGTAGATGAGAAATACATATTTTTATTAGCTAGAACAATAAAGAAACTTACGTCTTCGTCGACCAAAACCATCTCAATGGCAGATATCTTGTTGCCACTTTGCATGTTCCACTTTTTCATCACTTGCACTTTGATCTTGTAATTGGTCAACTCTCTGTTAATATCGATGATTTTGACCATGACAGTTGGCTTCTTTTTGAGAAACGACATATTCATCGTACCAGGAGAGACTAAAATCAGTGAAATTTTGGGTGATATGAATTTGTCATAGAGAAGATCCTTATAAATACTGGACATTAGGTCGGTTAGAAACTATGATTATCCTTTTTTTTAAAGTAGATTTTCATTGTCGAATAGTAAAGAAACTTCTAATACTATCGTATATAGGAAATTTAACGTTAATATTTTGTTTAAATATAGATGGATAATATCAATTTCTTTTAACTTCCAAATCATTATTCGAGATCTAAATATAGTAAATATGCCACTTTCACAAAAGGATATTAATATATATTTCTTTTTACTTAAATAATGTTAATATATATTGTTCAGCTTTAAAGAAATAAACGGAAATTAGATAGGATAAGTACAAAGTAAATTTGTATATTTTCATATACGATAGAAATAGGAAATCGTGACTTTAAAAATCTTCATCTACTATATATATATATATATATATATATATATTCTTATATTATTCTCTTCAGAACAAAAAATAAGTTTCAACAAAATCAATTGTGATCATACAAACACTACCTTTATAGCTTCCAAAACCTCAAATTCTTCATAATGATGATGATAATGTTGTTGAACTAAATAGACGGAAGAATAAATTTTCAGCTTGGATGGAATGCAATATAGAAAATCCGGATGCAAGGACACTACTTTACATCGAGTTTCCATCTAGATGGGTTTGATCGGAGAAAGACAAACTATGGCGTCGTAGGGAAAGACGTAGCAGGGCATCGAAGAATGTACGTTTACCCAATGTTACCCGGCAATTTGGCGAAGCCTATTATCTTCGAATATTACTTGATGTTGTTAGAGGACCAAGGAATTTCAAAGATTTGCTGACAGTTGAAAGTGTTGTTCACTATAGTTTCAGAGAGGCATGTTTAGCATTAGGTGTGATTCAAGAAGAACTTGGTCCCCATTAGTTATAAAAATAATTTTTTTTTTTTTGGGTTTTTTAAAAGTTGTTATTCGAATATTTTATTATTCTTATTTGTTATTTTTAAATTAAGTTTCTCAATAAAATATATTTATTTGAAGAACCGCATCCCTAGTTTTATATTTACATGAATTACTTTATCTTTAGAATTTAAAATAAATAACAATTGTGTAATCACTCATACAATTATGCATTGTTATTATCTAATTCTTATTAGTCGAACACACTTTCTGAAAAATTATTTGTTTACATATTTTATTTGTAATTTCCTTCACATCGAGAAATTTGAATAACAAAGGATATTTGTTTTTCTACTCTTTGGGGAAAACAATAATTTTTTAAAACGCATCGAATACTAAATCCTAAACCCACCAGCCCAAACCCTACCATATGAACCCTAACCCTAGAATAACAGAACCCCACCACCCCACACCTAAACACTACCTAATAAACCATAACACCACCCCCAATCCATACAATACACCATAAATATATAAACCTTCTATTATAAGTCTTTTTAAAGTTATTATAATATTTTGTTATTCGTATCTGTTATTTTTTAAATTATGTTTCTGAATAATATATTAGATTATCATACTATCCTTATGCAGTATGGATATTTTACTTTTAAAATATCTTTCTCATCGACAAATTCGAAGAACTACGAATATCTTTTTATATGTATTCTTTGGGGAAAACAATTGTTTTAAAAAACGCACGACAAACTAAACCCTAAACAGACCAACCCAAACTCTACCATATGAACCCTAACCCCTAGAATAACAAACCCCCCCCCTCCCCCGCCAACCTAAAGACTACATAATAAACCATAACACCACCCCCAATCTATACAGTACACCATAACCACATATAAATATAAACCTTCTATTTTAATGTTTTTAAAGTTATTTTAATATTTTACTAATCGTATTTGTTATTTTTCAAATTCTGTTTCAGAAAAATATATTAGATTATCATACTACCATTATGCAGTTTGGATATTTTACTTTTAATATCTTAATCATCGACAAATTTAAAGAACTAAAGATATCATTCTATTCGATTTTTTTGGGAAAACAAAAATTTTAAAAAACGCAAAGCAAAATAAACCCTAAACCCACCAACCCAAACCCTAACATATGAACCCTAACCCTAGAATAACAACCCCCCCCCCACCCCCCCTAAACACTACCTAATAAACCATAACCCTAAAATAACACCACAACCAATCCATACAATACACCATAGACACATATTATACAACTCTTTTCTATTTAAAATATGAAGTTGTACTTGAATAATAAATTTTTTTCGGCTTATTGGCCGTCATGAATAATACTTTTGATTTCATCACCCTTCTAATACGCAATGTTAATAAAATTTTAAGAGGGATCTTATTTTATAATTTAAAACGTACAATTATATTTATTAGATATAAAATCATCCTAATATAAAAAAGTAAATTCCACAAAATTGAAAAAAATAACAATCCAAACATAAAAACCAAATTCGAACCCTAGTCGATATTGTTTAACAATTAGACATCTATCCTAGTCATTGGCCAGCAAGATGTCAAACACAATTCTTCAGCCGTATTATATCTTTCTCTCTGCTCATTGCTTCTGAAACATACGGAAGAAAAAAAAATTTAAACACATGAATCAGTTTCTGATTAATGAAGATCTAATAAGTTTCTAAATTAGACGAAAACAAATTAAGAACATACATTCTTTGGAACTCATCAAGTTCAGGAATCAAAGGATTCAAGACGAACGTGGAAGGATCAATGCAGTAAATTGTTACCTTGCCTGAAATTAGAATAAACGAAATTAAATTTATGTTTCTAACACATATAAAATTTCACAAAAAAAAAAATTGTTACCTGCTCGAAGTTCTATTAGTCCCCACCTAATGACGCAGATTACATTACCATGTTTTACTCTCATCCATTCCTTACAAAACTTTATTGCATTATTCCCATATAACACGCAGTTTAGATGTACATTGCTGTAATATATTTAGATAATTATCAGAATAACAAAAATAACTATAAATATCAAATAATAAAATTATTTATTGAACAACCTTAGGTCACGGATTTGAAACTTGATGCTAGGATTGATACTATATGCATCGTAACTTTTCGTTTTTTCAAGCAAAGCCTCTTTCTAGATTGAAGATTCACTTATATTGACAACCTCTCCTATTAAATCTTGTAAGGAAAAAAAAAAAAAAATTGGAAACAGGGACTATTAGATACATAAACAGTTTCAGAATATGTGTGTTATAATTCTAAAAAAATAATATACGTACCTACTAAATAATCATCGCAGTGTGAACCATCTATGATTTTATCAAAATCAACGAAATTGAAGAAGTTTCTTACGCTCGGAAATAAGATCTTTGTGATGATGGTTGTTGGCATCAAGTATAATCGATTTAGATGCCAAGTAGCTATACAATGTCCTGTCTGAGTAGTTACCTCAAAATTCTTGATGTGAATCCGATCTCCCTCCTTCACCTTGCAATCATAACCGTCGTAAACGGAAACATTCACAGTTGCTTGAATCTTCTTTCCTTATGTGATATTTATCATACATTAGTTACAAAGATGAAAAACTGTTACAATGTTATCTATCATAGAGTTTATATGTTTGAAATACCTCTTCATCAGATAAGATTAACTCTAATCTGTTGACAGAAGGTTTGTCATCGTTAATCTATAAACGTAAAATCTTGACAAAAATTCCAGATTCGTGTGTCCTTGCCCCAAGACCGGAAACGGTATACCTCCTCCTCAAGACCTTATCATACGTAAAAACCTTTTTGTAGGTGTCTGATTCAACAAAAATTATAAACGAATAGGGTAAACCGCTTTCTCGAATTAGGGTTTTATGAGATCGAATAAAAAAAAAAAGAAAATTTGTACATACCCACTAATTCTTGGTTAGATTATTTTTAGTTGGTACCATCTTTGAGCTTCTTGTTTCCATTAGCTTGCAAACCTTAATCTATTGTAACGAAGGTTAAAGAAGAAGATGTTAGATAGGAATACATTAATAGAATGTAATGAAAATAATGAATAATCAGTTAATCATTAGCAAATAACAATAAGAACAAACTAAAAACGAAATACCTACATGAGAGAAGATGATATATGGATTCGAAAAAAGGAACTCACCTCTAGGTTGAAGAATAATGGATTGTTCAGTTTCTCGGTAATGCTATCTATTTATATAAAACATCGTCAGTTAAGAAACCTAGGTTTACAAATTTATTCTTTCTACTTATTCTATTTTTTACATAATTATGGCGCGTAATATGGTAGTTAGGATTTATTATCATCATAAAATATTAATAATAAGAAATATAAATCAGAAAAAAAAGGAAATTACGAAGATTTTTAAAAAGGATTTTCATTAAGAGTAGCTGAGTAATCAACCATCTGAGAGTTAACGTGGTGTCTGGAAACGAAATAATCACTTCGCAAATAATATATTAGATATGGAAGGTCGGTATAACGTTAGAATTTTGACTTCATTGAATTGATTTGCAAAGAAAAAAACTCATGGATTATATATATATATATATATAAACTCAAAGAAAATATATATATATATGCAAATTTAATTTAGTTTGTAGGTTAATTTGAACAAAATATTTTTTAATATGTTTAGAAAAGGATCATATTAATCAATTAAAAAGAAATGACACATAAGGTCATACATAAAATAAGTTGCTTCATCTGTGCGAGCATTGTACAAATAAAAATATCATTCAATCAAGGTACAACAAGAACAAACAAACGAATAGGTATTAGTGTTGCGAATGTTTTAACGAAATTTAACGAGACAATAAGAATGAAAAAAAAAACCGAAAGCCCTCGATAAGACTAATGGTTCCTGGCTCTACAAGGCCAAAACTCAACATAATCCGTAACGAAATCTTAGTGTTTGTGTGAGTAACATACCTCTTCTTCTTCTTCTTCTTCTTCTTCTTCTTCCTTCTTTCTACTTCGCTGCATCGGCTTCTTTCTTATTTTCTTTGCTATACTCTTCCATCTCATGAAGCCAGAGATCCGCAAACTCGCAATTCTTCCAAGCATCAAACCAAGGCCCTCCACGAGTATAATGCACCGCCTTAGGCTGTGTAGCGGGATCGTTCTCAACAACCCTGTTATGCCCTTCAAGAAAGTTCCACACAAAAGGAACAGACCCAATATCTTCATCCTCCAGCCACTGAAACCTATGGAGGAAAGCACCGGTCTGCGTGTTGACAGCCTCGGGGTTCAAGGCCTTGTTCTTCGGGTGTCCACAGTTGTAAAGAACCATAGAAGACCAGTTCTTCCTCGGGTACACGGTTTGCACCGCACCGTCCATCTTAGTGGTCTCTTTGGGAGTGTAATCATGTTGAACGCACATGATCGCGTATTTATCATCGATCACATCAGTGAGTTCCTTGATGTCAGCAAGGTAGAGGAAATCGCAGTCGACAAACATTGCCCAACCTTGGTAATTAGACAAGTGAGGGGTCAAGAAACGAGTGAAAGAGAACTCGGTGCTCTCTAGCTGACCTCTTTCTCTCCAATACAGACCTTTCTTTCTCAGATCTGATTGAACAATCGGTGTGATTTCCACGGGGATTGAAGATCTATTGGTGATTGAGTGACGACAAACTTGGTAAGCAAGATCTTCTCGTGGATCGTAACCAACGAAGATCTTGAAAGGTTTCTTCTCAGAAAACCCATTACAGGTTTCGGATTTGGCATCGCCGTTGCTCATAGTCTTTGTTGCTGGATCTGCGTTTAATTTCATTGTAAGGTTAAGGATCTCTATCTCATTATGCTAACCATTTATAATTACAAAAATGAAAATCAAGTGGAATCTACCAAGCCAAAAACCGGATATTAACGAAATAGAGTATCCTCGACCTCGAGAAACATAGATTTTAAGTAAAACGAAGAAATCGATAACGAGTTTCCCGGAATTGAGAAAGAGAACAGCATCGCCGTTGTTGGATCTGCCTTAATTTCATTGCGAAGTAATGAATCTCTCTATATCAATATGCTTAGCATTTTTTCCAATCACAGAATCGCGATGAAACGAAACCATAAAATATGCGAATCAAGTGAGATATACTAAGCCAGAAAATGGAGATTGAGGTATTAAGCCATCATCAAAGCAGCATGAAACCATGGGATTTAACAGAAAAATTATAACGAATTTCCAGGAAATGGGAAAGAAAACAAACCTGGAAACGATGAGACCTGGATCTTGAGAAAATGCTTGGAGGGAGCGAAAAGAATCCACCGACAAAAATATTTGTTTTCCTTTTATTTGGACTAAATTGGAAAACCAAGAGAAAAAGATTTGGAGCGATAAATGAGGAGAGAGACCGATGAATCTGAATTAGAAATAAAACTACTGGTTAAAAGAAATTAAAAATTGAAATTAACTAAAAGAGAGAGGCTCGAATTGACCCGCGTGTTGACTCGGTGTGTCGGCCTGAGTCTTATACGTTGCCTCTCTCCTAGTAATGTTAATATGGGCTCTAAGTCCGCGGGTCTAAACGGGCCTTTTGTATGATTTTTAAGCCCGAACCCGTTTATAAAAAACTTAAATTCAAATGGGCATATTTATTAAAGCCCGAATACTAACGGGTCTGAACAAATTTAATTCGGGTAGCCCGTTTAATTTTTTTTTACAGAATTCTTTATGTTAAACGACGACGTTTTATTTAGCAGTCCTTTTTGAGCTAAGTGCTGATCTAATAATTATCTCAATTTCTGTCTGAAGATAAACAAACTAATGAATCCATCTTCGGTTGTGATCATGTTCTCTTTCCAGAGGATGCTCATCCAAGAAGTGAACGGATGCGCGTTTTGAGAGATCGGAAGAAGAATGCAAAGCCAAGAGTATCATGTATAATTATCTCCCAACTAAAACTAAACTTTGTATCTCCGATTATATCTTTAATTACTAAAATGTTATGTTCATCAAATCAGTTAATTTTAATGAGGCAAGCTCCAGCCAGCAATCTATTCCATCTTCATCTATAACTACCAATCAAAACCAAGGTATTTTACTTAACTAATCCACAAGAAATAATTCATCAATCCTATTCTACACATAACCAGCACATGCTAACAAGCTTAGATTGCTTTGAAAACTGTAATTATAACTACACACAATCATTGACTTTTTTAACAGACTACAATGACTTTAGGGATCCAACATTCGAATGTGAGCATTGTGGTGCTTTGATGTGGTACAATGAATGCATAAATAAAAGACGAAATTCTATACCTCCAGAGTTCTCGATGTGCTGTATGCATGGAAAGATAGAACTCCCTCCACCTCCTCCAGTGCCTGAAATACTTCAAGATCTTCTATTCAAAGGAGATGACAAGAGCAAAAATTTCAAAGAGAATATTAGAGCTTATACTTCGATGTTTGGATTCACTTCCATGGGAGGCAAAGTTGACACATCTATCAACAAAGGACGTGGACCCCCTATTTTCCGATTACTTGGTCAGAATTTCCACAGAATTGGAAGTCTACTTCCTTCAGATGACTCACGTCCAAAATATCAGCAACTTTACATAGTTGATACTAAGAACGAAATTGCAAACAGAATCACAGCATTCAGGTATTTTTTTGAGCTTTTATCAACTACTAATATCTTTTCATAAATGCATCTAAAGGACAATACTATTAACAATTATTTATCTATAATTGCAGCGAAAAAAGAACAGCACCAACTGCAAAATCAAAAATACTCAGGGAAGATATTGTGGAGGATATCAAAACAATGTTAGACCAGTGCAACAACCCATATGTGAAAATCCTTCGAACAGCAAGAGAACGTTTTGGAGATTCATTAGAGTCCATGAATGTAAAGGTCAGGCTGATTTCAAAACGGAAGACTGATCCTAACACATATAACATGCCTACATGCTCAGAAGTTGCTGCACTTTTGGTTGGGGATTTTGATGAAACGTTCAAGGCGAGAGATATTGTGGTGGAAACAAAAAGTAAGAAGTTGATGAGAATCTCTGAACTTCATCCGGCCTATTTGCCTCTACAATATCCAACTGTGTTCCCTTATGGAGAAGATGGATATCATATTGATTTGCATCTAAAGAGAACAACAACTATGTCGGAAAATCCAAGGTTCAGAGTAAGCATGAAAGAGTTTTTTGCATACAAAATCATGCAACGTGGCAATCAATTCAACGTTCTACACTACACAGGAAAACTCTATCAGCAATTTCTGGTTGACGCATTTACAATGATGGAAGCAGAGAGGATCGGATTCCTTAAGCTTAATCAAAAGACTTTGCGTGCAGACAGTTATAGCAATGTTTCAGCTTTTGCCTCAACTGGAAATAAAGATTCATCGATGTGCGGAGCAAGGATTGTGTTACCTTCAACTTTTGTGGGTGGTCCGAGATACATGCGTGAAAAGTACATGGATGCAATGGCTGTTTGCTCACATTTTGGCTATCCAGATTTGTTCATCACGTTCACTTGCAATCCAAAATGGCCTGAAATTACAAGATATCTAAGTAAGCACAATTTACAATCAGAAGACAGGCCTGACATTCTGGTATGAGTATTCAAGATGAAGTTGGATAGTCTTATTTTTGACATAAAAGTCAAAAACCTATTTGGTCCATCTGCAGCAGGTAAAATCCATTACAATCCATTACGTATTCCTAATATTTATAGTTTATGTCTTTTTAATTGTTCTAATAGTTTTTATTTTTAATGACCAGTGATATATACTATTGAATTCCAAAAACGGAGACTTCCACATGCCCATATTTTGCTGTTTCTGAAGCGGGGATCAAAGCTGCCTACAACAGATGATATAGACAAGGTTATATCTGCTGAAATTCCAGATCAATCATCTAATCCAGTGCTATATGATATAGTAAAAGATTTAATGGTTCATGGTCCCTGCGGGATAGAAAATCCAAGCTCACCATGCATGGCTAAAGGAAAATGTACAAAACAATTTCTTAAAGCTTATTGCACTGATACACACATCAACAAAGACGGATATCCAGTTTACCGAAGAAGAGATGATGGAAGATCAATGGAAAAGAGTGGGATTGAGATTGATAACAGGTTTATCATTCCTTACAATCCACATCTATTACTAAAATACCAAGCTCACATAAATGTCGAATGGTGCAATCAATCAAGAGCAATCAAGTATTTGTTCAAATACATCAACAAAGGAAATGACCGACTCACTGCAAAACTAATACGGGAGTCATCGAATGAAGAGCCTGAGAGTTCAGAAAATCCTTCTGAAAAAAAAGTTGATGAAATCAAGCGTTTCTTGGATTGTCGGTAAGTTTATATAAGATTAGCATTATGTTTTCACCTCATATATTAAGAATTTCATATCTTACAGTTAGTTAATTATTATTTTATAGGTATATCTCACCATGTGAAGCAGTATGGAGAATATTGAGGTTTGAGCTACATTACAGCAGTACATCTATTCAGAGGTTGTCTATCCATCTAGAAGGAGAACATGGTCTCACATATGACTCTGAGGATGATCTTGACGAAGTATTGGCAAAAGAAGGAAATCAAACATCACAGTTTTTGGAGTACATGAAAATGTGTAGTCAAAACTCTGATGCAAAGAAGTTGACATTCATTGAGTTCCCAAAGTTTTTTACATGGAACAAGAAAAGTAAACTATGAACTCCACGTAAACGAAGCCCGGCTGTTGGTAGAATCCATCAAACTTCACCATCTGCAGGTGCTCGATTCTACTTGAGGATCCTTGTGAACAAAATTCCAGGGGCAACCAGCTATAAAGATCTACGTACAGTTGATGGAATTACGTATGCAGCAAACAAGGAAGCTTGCTATGCTCTAGGTCTACTTGATGATGACAAACAGTACATTGAAGCAATCAATGAAGCTAGCGAATGGGGAACAGGCTTTTACTTACGTCAGGTGTTTGCTTATCTTTTAGTTTCAGAAAGTCTCTCAGAACTTAAACATGTTTGGTTGGAAACATGGCATCTACTTGCAGATGGCATTTTGCATATGCAACATGCAATTCTCCAACGACCAGGTTTGTGACTATTATCGAGATAATAATAAAAAAAATTAAGTGAAATGCAGTTTTTCTTTTGATTAAATGTATTATGGTTTGACTTTTCAGGACATGAAATGTCAGATGATCAGCTAAAGAATCAAACTTTGTTGGAGATTGAGAAGCATTTGCGCTCAAATGGAAGTACTCTAGAAAACTTCACTACAATGCCATTTCCTACGAATAGCAACATACCATCAATGGTCAACAGATTGATAAATGATGAGTTGTGTTATGACGTACACGCCAATGCCACCGAAAATCAAAGATTGGTGTCCAGCTTGACATCTGAACAGAGAATTGTCTATAACAACATCGTGAATGCTGTTGTAACAAATTCTGGAGGTGTTTTCTTCGTCAATGGGTTTGGAGGGACAGGGAAAACATTTCTTTGGAAAGCTCTGTCCACATACATTCGTTCAATGGGAGAGATTGTCTTGAATGTTGCTTCGAGTGGAATGGCAGCACTATTACTAGATGGAGGACGCACAGCTCATTCTCGGTTTTCAATACCAATACAAGTAAATGAAATTTCAAGCTGCAATTTTACCACAAACAGCGAGCTGGCTCAATTGCTATTGAAAGCGAAGTTGATTATTTGGGATGAGGCACCAATGTTGCATAAACATTGTTTTGAGGCTGTAGATAGAAGTTTGAAAAGTGTTTTAAGAGCAGCAAAGAGTCCAAACTATAATAGGCCGTTTGGTGGGAAGGCTATTGTTTTCGGAGGTGATTTTCGTCAAGTGCTTCCTGTAATTCCTAAGGGGAACAGAGAACAGATTGTGCAAGCTTCTCTCACTTCATTTGTGCTTTGGAGATCTTGCAAAGTGCTTAGTTTAACAAAGAATATGAGGCTGACTGTCGATTCTGATCCGGCAGAGACTGAATCCATCAAAGAGTTTTCCGAATGGATTCTAAAACTAGGCGATGGAAAGTTATCTGAGCCTAATGATGGCGAAGCAGTGATTGATATACCGGATGACATGCTTCTCATGGATTCACTTGATCCAATCATGTCAATCACCAATGCCACATATCTGTCACTAAAAGAACACCTAGAGGATGAGTCTTATTTCAGAGATCGTGCAATACTATGTCCTACGAATGATGTTGTGGATGAGGTCAACAATCACATCATGGATCTACTTCCGGGAGAAGTGCAAATATATTATAGCCAAGATAAATTCTGTGAATCAGAGAAAAGCAACGCGAGAGATGGTGATGTGACAGTTGAATTCCTTAATTCAATTAAGTGTGCGGGAGTGCCTAACCATGTTCCAAAGCTAAAGAAAGGAGTTCCAGTTATGCTTCTGAGAAATATTGATCAGAAATGTGGTTTGGTGAATGGAACTAGGTTGCAGGTAACACAATTGGGAACTCATATCATTGAAGCAAAGGTCATCACAGGAAAAAATGTTGCAAATAAGGTCTATCTTCCTAGAATGATGCTGACACCTACAGATGTTAGATTGCCTTTCAAGTTTCAAAGGAGACAATTTCCGATTTCCCCATGCTTTGGAATGATAATTAATAAGAGTCAAGGTCAGAGCTTAGCTCACGTTGGAATCTACTTACCAAGATCAGTTTTTGCACACGGTCAACTATATGTGGCTGTCTCAAGGGTTAAAAGTAGAGGAGGTTTGAAGATCCTAATCATTGACGAAGAAGGGAAGAGAGCAAAGCAAACAACGAATGTTGTGTATAAAGAAATTTTTCAGAATTTCAGAGAGAATGATGCATCTTAAGGTAATAACATACGGTCATTAGTTTTGTATACAAACTCTCAACTTCTTCACATAACTACAATATTATTTTCAGGTACAAGCTTCAGAGTCGTCTCATTTACAAGAATCAGTTTCAGAAGAATATCTCAGTCAAACTGATCTTAACTTATATTTGTACTTCTGTTTTTTAGCTTTAAGTTTGGTTTGGTTCAAGTTTATTAGGATTGTAGCTAATGAATCTTTTGTAATTATGTGTTTTCATAAGCAGATTGTATCTATCTAGGATTCTAATCAGAGTTAAGTTTATTTCTAAAATTTGGAAAACAAAAACAGAAGTACACGCAAAAACACACATGATTTCTCCAACATCAATCTCACAAAAAAAGAAAGCAGATTTTTTCTAATAATTCTCAATTTTTTACTAGCTCAAATGATTTGCTGGATAGAGAAGATTACCAGAAATAAGGTTAGGTGATTCGATTGGATGCCAAGATGTCAACGGTGGAAATGAAGATGAGCCATCTCAATTTTGGCTCCCGCCTTTGAATTTGAGTGTGATAACACATCTGGATCAATGATATACGAGATAGATGAGCTAACTTTCCCATCTAATTGAATAATTATAGGCAATCCGATGTAATTGCATCATCAAAATCGAAAAGTAGCTGAAATTGAAAAAATGGGTTATTCAATCATACCTGCGAAGAGAGAACATAATCAGGCATAATCCAGAGTGCATATAGCTCTGTCAGCTAAACCAATAACAGATCAAGATTAATCGTTACAAAAGAGATCAGAATCAGTGTAATCAAATTGAATTTTTTTTTCTTTGTTCGGTGGTTCTGGTTCTAAGAAGAAGAAAGGAAAAAAGCAGGACTAAACACGATGACGATGTTTTTTTTTGGTCGGTTTGTTTTGTTAGTAATGTTTGGGTTTTCAAAGCAATAAATTAAAAACTGAATATGCCTTTAATGGGCCTTTACTTTCTGGCTAATTGGTTAATATGCTAATTATGTTTTTGATTTAATTAAACTGATTCATTTTTATAAAGTGATGCTCTCATCTTCGATTTGTTTTCGGGAAGTTGATTGACCGTATTGTTTTCAGGAGTATCAAATATTAATAAAGATTCACGTCCGTGCAAAGCACGGGCCAAATACTAGTTAGAAATAAAACTACTGGTTAAAAGAAATTAAAAATTGAAATTAACTAAAAGAGAGAGGCTCGAATTGACCCGCGTGTTGACTCGGTGCGTCGGCGTGAGTCTTATGCGTTGCCTCTCTCCTAGTGATGTTAATATGGGCTTTAAGTCCGCGGGTCTAAACGGGCCTTTTGTATGATTTTTAAGCCCGAACCCGTTTATAAAAAACTTAAATTCAAATGGGCATATTTATTAAAGCCCGAATACTAACGGGTCTGAACAAATTTAATTCGGGTAGCCCGTTTAATTTTTTTTACAGAATTCTTTATGTTAAACGACGACATTTTATTTAGCAGTCCTTTTTGGGCTAAGTGCTGCCTCAGAAACCCTAATCCAACACCCACCAGATTTACGGCCGCCTCAAGAGCCGGCGGCGCTGGAAGCCTCCCACCTCTTAGAATCGCCGATCTCACACCACCACCATACACCAATCCCTAAATTTCAAAACCCAAAAGAGAAAGATGGCAACTTTCGTTTGGGATTGCAGCAAATGAGTGATACAAGGAATAAGGGATGGTTTTTCGGGAGTGAAGATGTGGCCGTGATGAAGACGACTGTGTTATCATCACCGTCACTGCTAAAGAAGCTCCTGATGATTTGAAGTCTATGGCGGTTGAAGCTGTGCTTTTGCTTCAGGAGCAGATCAACGATAAAGAAGAGGCAAAGGTTAAGATGCAACGATAAAAAATTTACACGGGTTTTAATGGACAGGCTTAAATCTGGCGGGCTTAAAGTTAAACGGGCTTAAACGGGCAAAAAGATAAACGGACTTAACGGGCAGGTCTCTAACGGGCTCGGGCTTAAACAAACAAAGTCTAAACGGGCCCGGGCCGCCCATATTAACATTATGACTCTCTCCTTTACCATGTGCTTAAGGCTCGTTTCTACGCTTTTTGCTAGAATAAGTCTTTTACAAAGATGTAGTTTCAACATTTAAGGTCTAAATGGTAACAGCTGAATGTTGCTGAATGAGGAATCTGGTGGAATGAAATTTAAATTTGTTGTGGAATCAGGTTGATTAGTTAGTATGAATGGTAACAACTGAATGTTGCTAAATGCGGAATGTTGCTGAATGAAAAATAAATATCTAACAAATTATTTGTATAACAGATAACAAAAAATTCACCCAATTAAATTAAAAAAATAATTATAAAGCATATAGTTGTAAAATAAGTAAATAATAGTTAAATCAATTAAATAATTTAAAATATATATGATTTAGAAATCATGATTTATAAGAATTTCTTAAACATCACACATCAAATGAAAGAAGACATTTTAAAAACTTATTATTGTGAAATGTCTAAATAATAGAATAATAAAAGAAATTATTTAAAACTTACAAAATTTAGAAATTTGGATCAATAATAATTTATTAATCAAAGTTAAAATAAAAATAAAAATAGACATTTTTTTTTTTGATATTATCAATTTTATTAATGAAAATCATCTCTTATTTCCTTCTAACTAGGTGGTTGGCCCGCGCCCGCGCAGGCAAGAGATGTTTCAGAATTCCAATCATTTCAATTAATATTAGATTAACGCATTTTATTTTTAATTACTTTTCATATTTTTGTAATGTGTTTATTTTCCAAGGAAGTAATATCTTAACATTTTGTTAATTTGATAGTTAAATTGTGTAATGATTTTTTCCTTCTTCCTCTTTTTTTTTTGCTTCTTCTTTTTCCCATTTTTGTTCTTCAGTCATTTCTTGTATCGTCATATCCTCTAACTTACTATTTTTCCTTTTTTTTCAAATTATCTTTACCTTCTTTTTCCGGTTTATCTTTTTCCTCATTCCCCCTTCTCTCTATCTTTATCATCTTCGTCTTCTCTGACATCATCTTATTATAATATTTATTTATTTCTTATTTGTCTTCTTTCCTCTTCGAGTTTTCTTCTTCTTCTCGAAGTTTCTCATCTTCTTATCCACCCTCTTCTTTTATTCTACTAGTGTTTTTACTCCTCCTTGTCTATATCTTATATTTCACTTATCAATTCATTCGATAGTTTAGATTTTCAATGATTCGTAAAATAGTTTTTATCTTTATAGTCGATATCTTTTTAAAATCTATTTAATTTGTGTCGTTATCTTTTGATTATGGATTTTCTTTTATTGTTTTATTTTTTTCTACTTATGAGTGTATTTTAGAATGGTGGATATAAATTTATAATCAGTGATTTTTAATTTTGATATACTATTTTAATTCAAATTTTTAAAAATGCACCAGAAACTAAACCCTACACCCATCAATATAAATCCTAAACTCAAACCCCACATTATTAACCCCCTCCCCCTAATTAAAGAACCTACACCCTAAACCCAAATCCACGTTATAACTCCCCATGAACCGAACACCTGAATCTCACATTACCAATTAGTTCTTGATTTGCTTTTATTTTTATTTTGTTTATATATTTTTTTTTGTTGAAATTGTTGTTTTCTTATCCCTTTTATTCTTCTCTAGTGATCTCATCTTTTTCTGTTTTCTTCTAATTTTTTATTCGATGTCATCATCTTCTTTTTTTCTGCTTCTTCTTCATCTTCCAATTTTTGTTCTTCAATCGTTTTTTTGTGTCTTCGTATCCTCCAACTCACTATTTTTTTTTTCTAACTTTCTTTACATTCTATTTCCGATTTTTCTTCTTCCTCATTCTCATTTCTCTCTATCTTTATCATCTTCGTCTTCTCTGACATCATCTTACTATAGTTTTATTTATCTCTTCTTTGTCTTTTTTTCTTCGCATTCCATTTTTCTTCTTTGATTTCTTTTTCCTCGTGTTCAAGTTTTCTTCTTCCTCTCTCGAAGTTTTCCATCTTCTCTTCTCTTACTCATGTTTTTCGTTCTTGTATACATTTTGTATTTCACTTATCAATTCATTCGATAGTCTAGATGATGTTAATTCACAAATTTAATTAATATTAGATTAACGCATTTTATTTTTAATTACTTTTCTTATTTTTGTATTGTGTTTATTTTCCAAGGAAGTAATAGATCAACATTTTTTTAATTTGATATGAACTTATAAATTATGAAAGCACAAAAAATTAGTTAAATTTTGTAATGATTGTTTTCTTCTCCCTCTTATTCTTTTTCAGTGATCCAATCTTTTCTTTTTTATTCAATTTTTTTTATTGTTTGTCATATTTTTTTTGTTTGCTTCTTCTTTTTCCAATTTTTGTTCTTCAATCCTTTCTTGTATCTTCAGATCCTCCAACTTACTATTCTTCTTTTTCTTTCTAATTTTCATTATATTCTTTTTCCGGTTTATCTTTTAAATAGTTTTTATCTTTATATAGTCATGATCTTTTAAAAATCTATTTAACTGGTGTTGTTATCTTTTGAGTATGGATTTGCTTTTATTGTTTTAATTTTTTCTACTTATGTGTGTATTTTAGAATGGTGGATATGAATTTATAATCAGTGATTTTTAATTTTGATATACTTCTATTATAATTCAATTTTTTAAAAATGCACCAGAAACTAAACCCTACACCCATCAATATAAACCCTAAACCCAAACTCCACATTATAAACCCCCCTCCCTCTAATTAAAGAACCTACACCCTAAACCCAATCCACGTTATAACTCCCCATGAACCGAATACTTGAATCTCACATTACCAATTAGTTCTTGATTTGCTTTTATTTTTATTTTATTTAATTTATATATATATTTTTTGTAATTGTTGTTTATGAAATATTGTCCCTTCTTCTTCATGTTCCAATTTTTGTTCTTCAATCGTTTTTTGTTTCTTCATATCCTCAAACTCACTATTCTTCTCTTTCTTTCTAATTTTCTTTACATTCTATTTCCT